TTCTAACATCAACCCATTATGACTTGTGGAAAAATCTGAAGAGAGCTGAAACAATCAATTTACCTTACTATTATATTTCCTACAATCAAACTGAATATTGAAACTGACCAATTCTGACATTATAATATTCAATTTTAAAGACTATTGTACTAATCAGTTACTTTCGTGGTAAATAAATGAATGAAATAAATGAATCGTATCTTTACTAATAACTAAAATGTTATTAATTAAATTAAAAAAACAGCTAATTCCATACTGTCAATGTCGTTGATCATTAATGGCTTTTAAACCTGTGCTATATTCAATTAGTAATTAAGAAATCGTAGACAACCTATATCTGATGACTGATACCTCATTATAAGTATTACAGTTGTTTCGAAATGAGGTACATGTATTTGAACAGTTTCTTCAAAAAACCTGTTTACATATGATAATGTTATAATTTTCTCATATAGTAACGATATATCTAAAAAGTGAACCATGCATCGTTGAAACTAGTCAGTTATGAATTACTTGTCACAGAAAACTTACAAGTTTTTGACTTACGATTTATGAAATAATGATTTACGTGAAAAGTACAAACAGTGAATTAATTTATGTGATTATGTGGTACTATTTACTATTAAAAAGTAGTGTACAATTTATCTACCAATATTGTCGTCCACCGTGTATAAGTTACATTAAAAGCTGTAAAATTCCATCTCCATTGTAACAAATTTTAGTCTTGGCACGGAATGAGTACAGTTTGGAAAGACATTCTATTTCGCGACTAAAATATTAGTGCAGAGAACATATTGCTCTTCGAATACTTGAATAACAGTTCTATCTCTGCATAGGACTCGGTTATAGGACACAATTCAGCCTATTGTGATTATCTAAAGTATAGATATATTTTGGTGTGGAAACACAAGAGTAAACTGAACTGGCTTTGTTAAGAAAATTATGTGTAATATACTCAAGTTTTATGCAGAATTGTTCACCTTATTAAATTTTTTTAAATCGTAATACTGCTTTTCCGCAGGTAACTGTTATCGTTCACTTCTTAAAGAGGGGTTATAGAGGTGTATATTAAAGACATAGTAATCTTATGCTTCAATATCCCCATGTATTCAGTGACTAAATTATAACGTTCAGAAAGTTTTTCATAATTATATATTCCACAAGCTGAATTTCAATACTCAAAAATATTTGTCCCATCAATTTTTTAGTTATAAATTTGTAATCATTTGGTTATTACTAAGGTACCCTGAAGCATATTGTATGAGGATAAGAAATTTAATTTTACTAAGAAGTAGTGAGCATTATCAATAAATATCATTCAAAAATCCTACCGGATTAAAACACATCTATGAATGATGACTGTTATATTCGATAAATTCACTACAAATTCTACAGTTATAGGTCCAAATGAATGATCGACATACCAAGTTTTAGGTAAGCCCATCTTTTGAAGTTATATATATGAGAATATAAAATTGTTTCAGAATGAAATGAAAGTTTGATATAAATAAAAATGGAAACCAGTGAACAAAAAAATTTTTCATTTCAATGTAATTGTTAATGATGTAATAATTAGCTTGGAATGTTAATTAAAACAAATTTATATACTCAGTGAAGTTGTAAGATGAATAATCTGAAAGAATATAGATAATATAGAGTGAGAGAAATAATCATATGATTACAAACCAGATTACATATTGGATCGTAGATCACGTAGTGTATGAAGTGATTTGATATCGGTTGGAAATAATAAAATTTGTTAGGTACTGACCAAATTATCCGTATGTTAAGAAAATGACGAATGATAATAACAGCAATACAAAGAAACGCCAATAGTTATAATAATAATAATAATAACTATAATAATAGTAACAACATTTGAGGTACATCAAGACAAAGGTGAATAATACATGTACATTAGTTAAAATAAGTCATCCTACAATTCATTTTGTATTAGTTGTTTGAATCTTCCCATTGATACTTAAGACTGCGATTGATCAGTCTCTCATTGGCATATGTGTACGCTGTGCAGATTACCTCTATATTGACTTATGTCACAAGCATTATAAGCAAAGATGGATGATGGCTTGCAGTGGAATCCAGGACACACGTTTCGTCCTATTTGGAACTTACTAGCTTGCGCAACGGGCGATCTGTAGTGTCAGTTATTATGCCAAGCTCATACACCTTATTCTAGCTTCCGGACATCCCATTTTATTCATTCTACTCGAGCCATACTTTGACGTTGTAAATTATTCGCTTATCAATCTAGACTGTTTTTATATGAGCGTATATGTGTGTGTGCCCTTCTTATCCTATAAATCACATGTCTGTAGCTTTATTTTGTCTGAATATAAATATTGAGTAACGCTTGACAAAGATGGAGTTGGCTTCCCAGCCATCTTCCATACGGGCCACTAAAGATCATCTGGACTCAATAGCTAAATGGATAACGTGATGGTATTTAAAGCAAATGTTACCGGATCGGAGTCCTGGAGTGAACATTAACTCTGGGATTCAGGTACATCCAGTTTCGAGTAGGACAAAAAGTGCGTCCTGGATTCCACTGCTATTCACCATCTATCTTTCAAATCTCTTATTAGGCGTTATGCTGGTCGTGGTAAAAGAAGCGTCTGAACTTACTACTTCTGTGTACAAAGCTGGAGTTTTTCCAACGTTAGTATCAATTACTTTCAGTAGTATTGCATTTTATGAGCTAAATAATTCTACCGTAAAGATTCTATTATCTTGATAAAAATATTATCGGTACAAAAGGCAGATAGAAATGTGCTATTCGAATTTCTCTATATACGAATAAAAGATTAATTTGTTAACCTTGAATTCGATTTAAAAACCTGAGCAACTGTAAATTCAAAAGCATCGTGAACCATATTACGCTGATCGAACCTTTAACCACATTGGGAATAACTCAGATAAGTATCTAACAACTGTTTATTAAAAGAACGGCTACTCACGAAGTTCAGCAACAGTCATGAAACAAAATGTGGAAATCAGAGAAAGGATTATCCTAACATATGTGAAAGACAAACTGCAGATTGCAACGGGATTGTTGGAGTTGATTGTAATAAGACAGCAAAATTACTTCAGCCTCTCTTATGCAAAGTAAAACATGGAATGACAGAAAAATGAAAGCCAAACGTCACTTATACAATAAACTCCATCATGTGCGAGAAACAGCATATTCCTCTTGATCTTCATTTGCTTGAATAACAACTAGTTGTCATATGCAACGATGTATCTCCACTTAAATCAATGCACGTAGTTAGTCGTGGACAAATGCTCAACTGGTAAGATTTTTGGATCGTAGACAGAGGTAACATAAAGAACGTCGAGGGGTTTCTATACATTTAGGACCTAAGTGAATCAGCAATCAATAAATATCTAAATTGATCTAATTTCTCAACCAGTTAGTAAAATCAAGAACAACTATAGGGAAGAAAGTCAGATCAAAAGGGGAGGCAGTCAAATTAAGTATGCAGCTAAAGGACATTTTCCAACAACGACCAGTTATTAGAATTAAACTGTTAGTCATAAATGAAGAGATTTGATTTGCTGACTCATCTATGAAGTTTGTGATGAGGATTTTATCTAGAAAAACAATCGAAATCTCACGGTTAAACCGCTTAGCTTCGAGAACGCGGATCTAAGCAAATCATCTTCCTGAGTTACAAATTCTATTCACCATTTCAGAATAGTTATCACTTCTTTTTATTTAACGAACTTTTAGCCTGATTGATTTTGACAGACTTAGTTTTACTAATATTTTATTTTAGAAACTATGTTTAACTTATAAACTATGAATGAATTTAAAGGAACTATTTGAGCTTTAACTTGACCATTCTTTTAGATTAATAATTTTAATTTATAACTGTAAAGTTTGATGAGATGACATTCTTCGTTAATCCAACAGTATTCACATAGTGTCTGTTATTTATTATATTACATGTATGATTTTCATAAATATATTTTTGGAACCAATACAATTGTTTAGAAACTACAATTCAGTCAAAGTATCTACGTATAGTCAACGTAATCTCTACACGTTTTAAGTGATGAGCTTTTTAGACTTATATGCAAATAATACGAGTAATTTCATTAAACGTTATTACAGTATCCTTTTCTCCAGTATTGAGATATAAGATTGAACGTAACTTATTAAATTCCAAATTATAAACATAATGAGAAAGTTTATTGAGATTACTTAATTTTATGAATGGTTTTCATCATGAAATAACTTCAGGGAATGATTCAATTGGAAACCATGAAACCAGTGAACTAATTTCCTATCCTAATGTGAAACTACACAGAAATAATTACAAACAAGTAGTCAAGGTACGAATCTAGAATCTTCTATCTAGTAATCTAATCCATAAACAATATTATTTTCGAATGAACCTATATAAATTCAAATATCGAAAACAGTTTTTTGTATCCAACCATTTTAAATGGAAAAAAAAGAATCAAGATAGAAAAAACACCTTTTATTACTTTCAATGGTTAATATCATGAGTCAGTTGAAGCTAGACCACCATGGAAAACCTGGAAGCACTGGACGGCCATTTCGTCCCATCGTGGAACTCCTCGGCAGTGCGCACCCACGACCTCGCCCCCTGCGAGATTTCAACTCAGGACCTACTGGTTTCGCGCGCGAGCACTTAATCACTAGACCACTGATGAGCCGGCATGCAACGGTGTTAATATCTAACTTCAACTAATCCACGAAATTGAGTGACACATTCACCACTATCTTCAGTGAGTTACTATCTCACAACAGATCTGGTTGAACTCCACTGGTCACTACTTCTCACTAGAACTCCGGGATATACCTCGTGAAGCCAATCACTAGTGAGCATATCAACTGACTCCTGATCTTAACCATTGAAATTACTACAATCTCCACAAAACCCATCGGATATTTATCTTTTATTACTATTTATCCCTCAACATGTAGGCGTTTTTGTTTGTTTATTTGTTTGTTTGTATATAAACACATATCGATTAACTAGAAGAAACAAGACATTTTCTATTCGAAGGAATTTAATTCATGTAAATGTTTACCACAGTATTTATTTGTTTATTTATTTATTAATCAATTATTGATTAAATAAATTGACTGATGAGTAACTTTAATGGATGGAACATGTATCACTCTTTTGTAATATATTTTTTTTATCAGAAAATCGATAAAATCAAAGATATAGAATACAATGATGGTAATTATTAATAGCAACTCAACTTAGTTAATTAAGCAGATGAAAAGAGATCAAAACTAACCAAATAAAATAAATAAGTCAATTTAAAAAGAATCCACAACTATGTATCATAACAAAACATAATGGACAATGTAACAACGTAGATGAAAAACAAACAAACAAAACGACGACGACGACGACAACAGCAACAACAACAACAACAACACGAATTCAAGACAATAACAAAAACAAACAAACAAACAAAAAGAATCTAACATTAATGTGTCTTTTTTTCTCTTTCACTCCGTTTTTCTCCTAGATAAGTTATAACTAATGATTGATAAATTTACTAATTTTAAATTTCATTGTATTATATCAGTTGATTTATTTGTATCCAAATTTTATGAAACGGAACATTTACTGTCACGTTTTAATTTTAAATATTCTGGATCGTATATATGATTGCCTTCACCCAAATAACGCATTTTATAATCTTTAGTACGTTGTTCAACTACTGATATTGGTAAACTATAAGCCATTACTTTACGTTTACCATGTATAAGTACCTGAAAAATAAAATTATTAGATATATAAGATATTATAGAAAATGATTATTTTCATGGATAAAATAAGAAAATTCAATGAGACTATAATTTATGCATGATCTTGAGTATACACCCACTTAACTATCAAGGTTAAATGAAAGTTATAAATCTGTGTGAAGAATAAGAATTATGATTTACAGTTGATAGTTAAGGTTAAGAATCAGATTTAATATTTTTATCATGGACTGACATAAGCTAAAATGCTAAAACTATATTTAGCTAAGTGAATGAATGAATTTCGAGCCAAAATCCAAGACATGTCATCCTAAATCTGATTGGTTTGTCCATAAATTATAGTCTCACTGAAAATTCTGATTAACTGTTAATTAATAAAAAATGATAACGGGCTTTTTAATGACATTCATTTTAATATATATGTAGAAAGTTTAGTAAAAATATTACATTATGTCACTTCAAATGCATTTATTAATAGCAAATCTTAATACAGAAGAATGAGCGAATCAACACTCTTTAAGTACTTATCAGCTGAACATTTTATTTTGCATTTTTACATGGGAAGTTTTAACCCTAAATTAGATATTTATTATAACGAGAAGACTAGTGGGGAAGTTAAAACTTTCGGATTATAACCATTCATATTTCTGTGGTATAGTTCGTAGATAACTGTATTACCGTATTTCCATATTTATCTTATTATCAGCTTACAGTACACCTAGTAAACACTGCTATATGTCTTACTATCCTTTATTTATTGCCAACTAATTATGTATTGTTTGCTTCATCCTCTACCATTTATTGCAATGTTATGTTTAAAGTATGATTTCATACTTGGTGTACTGTTTGGTCAGTCAATTCATGTATATTATTGTAGGCGTTTTGAGTACAAGTGAGAACTAATCTGTTTTCCAACTTCATCTTCCAGCTGGCTATCGTGTTAAAAGAAGTTCAAGAAGCAATAAGCTTTAAGGCCTTGTTTGTGTTTAATTAATCAATGTGTAAATTCGTGAAATGGGAAGTTGCCAGTACCAGTCGCTGTGTAGGTGGATTATTAGATAATCGGAACCCTCATTGTGTAATATAGCACATGATATCGATTGGAATCTCAAGCTATAACAATACCACAGATGATTTTATTCATATTTTTAAGTTCCAATACATATTAAAAACCTGACATAAACTAAATTCATGGTTTAATTAGGGTAGATTTAGCTAATGATAATCAGTTGATGCCATTTACAAAATAATAGCAAAGCAATTATTATAATGTTGAACAAACTAGATCAAATGTTTACCACTGTTCAGCTGATAAAAATAATCAGAAATTAGCATAAAATTAGAAACAGTATAAAGACAGAAAGGAATCAGTTAGGATAATTAGTATAGATTGTCTAATTATAAGAAAATGAGTATTTACTGTCTGATTCATTTAGTGGTAGCTTAAATCAAACCAAATAGCAACGATAGTAGCACATAATATCAATTTTCTCGCCAGCTAATCTTATCAAATGTAAGTAATATGAGTGTCTTTTGTCAGTAATCTAATATCAGCATGACGATTTGTGGAAGTTGTAGAATTTTCGCAATTGAAATTACGAGTCGAATTAAAGTCGACCACAATTGGGAACCTGTAGGCAATGGACGGCCATTTCATCATAGTATGGGACTCCCCTTCAGTACACATCCAAGATTCCACATGCTCAACTCAAACTTGGAACCTTCGATCTCGTACACGAACGCCTAACTTCTGGATCACCTGAAGTTTAAGTGAGAAACCGTGATCAGTGGAGTCCAAACCGTGTCACTTGCCAGACTGTTATCGATCTCAGACAACGGATGAAGGGTTCTGCAAAATCATGGGTTGATTGAAGTCAGATACAAACACTGTTGGATGCCAACTCAGTGGTCTAGATGTTAACCGTTCTCGTGCGAGACCGAAGGTTCCGGGTTTCAGTCCTGCGTATGGAATTGTGGATGTGCACTGCAGGGAAGTCCCATACTAGAGCGAAATGGCCGTCCAGTGCTTCCAGATTCGCAATGATGGTCTAGTTTGGCTCAACTCGTGACTTCGACTGTGAAAATAATCTAGTAGTAAAACAATCCATTATTCTCAAAATAGTTTAACGAGTGATTTAACTATTTTTTCAGATTTCTATCGCCCCTAAACTACTTAACCTAACAAAGTAATGTTACACAAACAATTGGCTATCTGGGGTTTGCATCTTATTGGATAAGATATAGGCTTTCTATACAAATGGTGCTGGCTTCAAATCTCGGAGTGAACATCACTTCTGCTGGCGATTCCCAAATGGGACGAAATGCACATCTTGAATTTCATTACCAACTATGTTCTAACAATTCTATATAAAAGTGATATTAAATTAAAATGATACACATTTCTAATCGTTTTACTTATTATTTCGTTTACCAAGTTACTTAAACATATCTATTCAGTTAAGATTATTTTTTTAAAATAACATGGTAAAACATAATAATTATTTTAATTCTTCCTGGGAAAAATGAAATTAAACAGTTTATCTTTCTGTGTATGAGTATGCTGTGTTTGAAGCGATTACGAATTCACCTAGTCTGCGAAAGCAACAAAGACTCTGTGATAAAAACCAATAAGCTAGCTATTTTGTTGCGTTCCAGCCTCGCTAACTAAAGAGAGAAGTTCATGTTCGAAACGGGGAAATATATTCCGCAAGCAGCCAGAAGCACATGTAATCCCGACCCGTCTAGTCGGAAATACACTCATTTATATATTGGTTTGTACACCCATAATTCATATAAGAATGTCGTATGTTATACAGAATAAAATGTCATAGGGGAAAACGAAACAAGTACTATACTCAGTAATCATCATATTGAATTAAAATGGAATTAATGTTGAATAAAAATCATATTGAGTAAATCCCGGTCACAACAGCGTAAGTTGAGTAGAAATCTATGACTTACATTTAGAAATAACTGACAAAGGGTGATAAACTAAGTAAAAGTATGACATTATAGTCAAATGACTTGATTACTTTCAAATAACCTACCCTAATATAATAAGTTATCTTCAGTGATTCTAAGCAGCTTTGTGGAACTGAATTGATTGGAACGTTTAATGTTAAATGACAACCGGCTTTACGGGCATCTCTAGGTAAATCTTTATATGAATCACAATGTAATGTTCTTTGTGATTGTTCTGTTGAGTTTAAAGATTCACATGATACACGAAAATCACGATAATGACTTGGTAAATGTTGTGAATTAGAAAATAATCGTCCACTCTCAATTTCAGCTGCTTCAGAGAATGGTAAAGGTAGATTTTCAGTAAAAGTAGTTTTTTCTGTACGGCCATCAATAAAAACATTAGGAGGATACTTTTTCAATTTATATAATGCTTTTGTATCAGAAACTTTTAATCCAGGTATATGAAATATACGAAGTAAATAAGCTTCAGCATAACGTATACCAACTGGTTCATCCGTAAATATATAAATATTAATATCATCGGCCTCTTGAAAGATTATATTTTCAATCTGTAAACGATAATAAAAATTTAAAATCGTATTTTGTTAAAATGAATCCAACCAGAAAAAAAGTCAAATGTTCAATGAACTTAATTTAATAGTTTTTTTTAAAATAATCTTATGGAAGCTGAATAGACTGCTAAAGTATTTGATCATAATTTTAAAAGACAGATGAATTTACGAGCTGATATAAGCTAGACCATCAGTGAAAACTTGGAAGCACTAGACGAACATTACAAGTATAAGACTCCTCCTGCAGTGCTCTGTTCAGTGCTTTTAGATTTTCAATGATGATCCAACTTAGATCAATTCGTGTATTCAACTGTTAAAATACTAAATGCTTCACAAATCTCCATACTGATAATTTTAGAAAGATCAAATTTCATATATTGATAACAACTACATTGTGTAATTCAAATTTTGATATTTTCTTAAATGATCAATCAATTTTTTTTTTAAAAAGTGAATGCTTTTGTACCATCTTATTCCCTATATCTCAATTTTTTGGAAGTTTATATATTAAGCTTGTGAATTAAAGCATACTCTTTTGTACTTATTTGAAATTTGTTGTCATAGCAACTTAGAAAATTTACTGTATAATATACTAAATTTATAGAATGATATTAGGAAATATTAGAAAAGTGATCACATTATCAAAAGGAATACAAACTAGATATTAGTTCCCTTAAAGTAATATATAAAACTGATTCATTTTAGTAAAAATAAAATAACTAAGAGTATTCAAACCATTGTAAGATATTCATGTGCATAAATTATACTTAACTGAAGTGTTTTATAGAAAAATATCAAAAATAATTTAATAATCTGTGAATTATGTGAAGTTGGTTAAATAATTTACAATAGAGATGGTATCCATGCTATTCCATAAGTTATAATTAAGATTATAACTAAATTAAAGAGAGCAATAAGGAAGATTGGTACAGTATAATATGAATTCATTTTATTTCGTTAGATTCTCATCAGTTTCTTACAACCGAGAGAAAAATATTTGAAAATTAACATTATTACAGATATTGACGTACCTATATATAGTAGCGTGATTAAAGATGTATCATGATGTTGTACCATATATGTTGTATGAAATATAACTAAATTAGTGGGGAAATAAGTAACTTGTAATTCAAATAAATTCTTCTCAATGTTGAGATGGTGGAGAAGATTTGTAGCTCAGGTGGATGATTTTGGTGGAGTTTTGTTCTCTGAGCTGGATGGTTTGGCCGCGGAGCTTTCATCGTTCTTTTGAACGACATAATCAGCACAAACTTCAGATAGAAGTAAAGTGTTCGAATTTCTCCATATGTGCACAGAACATGCTGTGAAACACATATGGAGAAATTCGAACACTTCACTTCTATCTGAAGTTTGTGCTGATGATGTCGTTCAGAAGAACGATGAAAGCTCCACGAAAAAACCATCCAGCTCAGAGAACAAAACTTCACCAAAATATTTTCAATGTTATCACATTCTGTTTGTTCTGAATAGTTTGTTTATAATGTTTTCATTATGTATATTGTATCATATTAACAAAAGCTAATTCAAATAACTAACAAAAGAAATGTTATATCATTTCTGTCAAATTCTATTCATTGAATTCATTATGAAATAATAATTGTTAGATAGGACAATGAGATTAATATTCAAGAATTTTGATAGACTTAATCCACTCAATATCTTTTACGGTATATAACTGACTTGATTTATCAATATGATTTTGGATAGACTGATAGCCTACTCGAATATTTAGGCTACTTGTTCCTGTCATCTGGATATTTCAATAAGTTATCTGTTTTTGTTTAACACATCACTATTGCCTCTTAATCGCATAACCTATTCAGGTGTGTTTATGAAAATTTTACGACATTTCACTGTACAAGTTATAAAAAAGTACAATCAATGACATTGTGGTTTCTGACAATATGCATTGAAAAGAATAAACATTATTCAGATATCGATTCTTGAACTGCTAATATCTAACTGGCGATCACTTAATATTTATCGTCAAGATCGATTGAGAAATAAGAAAAGGAAACTTTTCGAAATACTCTATGCTGATAATTCTATATTGTACCAAAAATATAATACTGAATAAAGCCATTAATGAAATAATACTAAATAAATTTAAATTTATAATTAAAGTAACATTTAATAAACCATAATTTTTTTAGAAATGATGATTTGGTTGAGAATTTTGTAAAAATTTCATAGATAATCACATTATTTCAATGACTGTAGATGACAGAAGGACTGATAAGTTCTGGGTTCGAATCCTGCCGGGCGAGATCGTGGATGCGCACTGCCGAGAAGTCCTACAATAGGACAAAACGGCTTTCCAGTGCTTCTAGGTTTTCTATGGTGGTTTAGCTCTTATTGACCCATGATCTGGACTATTAGATCATAAGTAAGTGGAAAAAGTTCTGTTTGATAGGGAATTTATTGAATGATAATCATAATAATGGGAGGAACTGTGTTTAAAAATTATACCTGTATTAACATTTGTCTATTTTCCATTGTAAATGTTTTCATGATAGCTGGTATTCGTCCACCATTAGGAAGTGTATAATTTGGTGGACCACAACTAAGAACTTTGACATTTAAATTATCTGTACTGATTGTTACTGAATTATTTTCATTTGGTCGACTCAATCTGATGGTTCCATAGATATAATATCTAATGTAAAAAAAATAATGAAAGGATAACGGTAAACAGAAAAGGAGAAATTCTATAAAATCTCAAAAACTATCATATTGTGAATTAGAACATATATAAGCGAACGATATTGTTTTTAATTAGTGTTGGGGAGACCCGGAATATCCCTCAAAAAAGCTCGAAGGGACCCTGAAAACTCTTGGAAACATTTTATCTAATTAGCATTGAGTAGACGTTTCTCAGAAACATTTAGAAAATGGCGAGTCAGGTGGCACATTTCTGATTGGATGATTACTTATCTTGCTACTATGTTTAGAAAGGTTCTAGAACTTTCCAGAAGCTCAAAGCTGTCTGAAATACTATAAATACCCTGAATTCTCTGTACATAAACTAACCTTGGAGTACAGCATTCCTTCCATATTTTGTGTCTTTTATATCGTGTTCAAGTTGTCGTATAGATTTAGCCTGGGGTTATTAGTAGAGCTTAGGAAACCTATTCAAGCGTTCAGACAGGCGATTTATCAATTACATTCTCATCATGCTTTACTCAGATATGCACTAATATTTATATGTATATACGAAATTACTAAACCAATTCAAGTAGTTTATGAGTCAGTGTTAACATTAGAATGGATCACATAAATAAACATAATAAGTGATTTCGTATATGCATATAAAGATTATTGTATGTTAGAGCTAAGCCAGGTGTGGATGCAACTGAAGTTCCATAAGCCTAGAACATATGCTGGAGTGAACTGAAGACATTTTATCTCTAAATTAACTGGATTCATCTCATTTGGTCAACTAACTAGTGTATACAAGTGATATGGTAATTTATTTGTTCAAAACATTTTTCTTTAAACTGATTACCAGTCCTTTGGTTCACTGTTTAACATGTTTGCAGTTTAATATGAAGTCCCCAAGTTTGACTCTCAATAAGAATAAATTAATCATAGAATTTAATGAATCAGTTTTTCATTGAATATTGGTCCTGAAAAGCATTTCGGAGATTTTGGCTAAAAGATTTCATATTAATAACCCAGTAACTCAAGAATTGAGCCAACCAGTCAAACTCGTTAAACAAATGGTCTTCACAATCACATTTAGCTAACTTGAAATATTATGACTAAAGTCCATACAATCGATTTCATGTCACAATAAAACCTCGTTTACAACTGTTTATTTGGAGATACAAAACAAAAACCTTCCCATAACCACGTACAATTAGAACACAGCAAAATGTAACAGACCTTAATGGCAACCATTCGTAAGTGTCATTAACTGACTCTTGTCTGACTACATTTTTTCACAGCTTTATGAATAATAAAAGCTCTTCTTACCTTATCAAACCTGCACATATACATGGTTGATGATGTAGGTCATGATAATAATGTCTAATCATTTACATAATAAATATTCACAGCCTTCAATCGTTCATTTTCATCTTTCAGTATGTTCTACCATCTGGATTACCTCCTCGTCTGGTTTCTAAGTGATCCATCAAGACCGTGCTTTCAATTTATTAAAACTCTTTACCCCGTTTGACAATTGTTGCAACTTTGACTCCGCTTTCTGCTGCATACTACCTACAAACAATCATGTGAGTAGCGTCCATCACAATGGCAGTAGAGCTTAGCAATTGGATGATGTTGCTTAGTGAATATAGCATCATCAGTTGATCGTTCATTATATTCCATACATACAGAAAATTTTCTAATAAACAGTTTATGGCTAGCCTATTAGAGATCTCACTCAAACATATACAAAGGAAAATTACTGAATTTGTTCAAAATATTTATTAAATTAAATAAAACGTCATCTACGAAACTAAGAAGAGTCGTTTTATGTGAAAAATTCAATTTCCGTTATTTTGAAAATGGAGTTTTTATTTAAAATATAGCTGAATTACATAATAGCTGTTTGATGTAGCAGTTCATTTTTACCAGTAACGACTCAATATTTAATAAATTAAACATACCCAATTGAAATAGAATCATAACAGCTTATAAAACAGCTTCATAGTTTGATTGGGAAAAAAATTATTCTTACCTATGTATAATTTCTACTTCATGCGTAAAACCAACTTTACCCTTCAGTAATATTGACGGATGTGCATCACTTTCAAGAGGAAACGCAAAAGGAATTGCATGATCACCTGGAGCAAGTTGGACAGGTCCAATATATGGTGAGAAACATGGATCACTAAGATCAACTTCTTTTACTGGTGACTGCATAAATTCTGGTTCTTGACAAGTAAATTTACGTATTGGCATTCTTTTACCAACTGATGGGTCATCTGACAAAACAGTATATGATATAGGTATTCGTTTCTAGAATAATAAATGTAAGAGAGTTAAGTGAGCACAAACGTTTAATCAACGCATTTAATGAGTACTTTTCAGTAAAATATATTTGAATGACGGTAAATTGTTCGACTACTTTAAACACAAGCTACAGATGCCTGCATTATTCCATGTACTATATGCTCATATAACTTATACATACATTTGAAGGTGTTCAGTTTGATATTGAAATGCATTTTACTCTTATTAATGGAAATTAGCTGCTACCATGAGTGAAAATTTATGCCTGATTAGAGAGTTAACCTAAAAACTCAGTGACATCTGATTTCGTACTCTCATAATTCAATTGAGAAGACTACTTTAGTAATATTAATCACTAGTAGACGAATTTTCAGCGATAGTTTGTTCATTATTCTAACCTACATAAGACAGGTCGTTATAGAATGTCTATAATTAAAAAAACACCTTATAGTACATTCAATTCAATTTGAATGGAGTCGACTTGATGAATTTCATACCATGTCTGGCTTTAATTTTACCACATAAAGTGAATAGTTTACTTAATATGCTTATATATCTTAATGTTAAACAAAATTACGATTATCAATGAAGTAAGAAATTTGGTTTTTCGTATATGCATCCAGCGATATTTATTTCTGGAAATTCATTGTATGTTGAAGATCACAATATATTTCATGAAAAAGGTTTATAGCTGATCTTATGACACTTCATATATAAAGATCAGTTTTGCGAGAGGCTGCAATTGATTATAGAGAAGTGTCCGGGAAAGAACTTGACCATCCTGATAGGAAACCTAAACTCCAAAGTCGGAATCGACAACATCAGGTATGAAGATATCATGGGACGACACGGACTGAGGGAAAGGAACGCGAGTGGTAAGATATTTGGAAATTTGTGTGGATTCAATAAAATGGTTATATGTGGCACAATGTTCTTACGGAGGGCCAGATAGATCATATTTTTATCAATAAAAATTCAGAAGACAATCGAAGACGTGAGAACTAGAAGACGAACTGATGTAGCTTCAGGTCACCACCTGGTTGTGGCCAAGATCAAACTGAAGAAAAGGAAACACTGGACAGCTGGGGAAACAGCACTACAAATGTTGAATACAGCTTTCCTACGAGATACTAGCACTTTCAACCAATTCAAAATAGCTCTCGACAAAAGGTTCCAAGCCTTACAGGACCTACTGAAAGAAGGAAAAACTACTATGAAGAATAACCAGAAGGGGATCAGAGAAGCACCAACTTCGACAAGACAGGAGGTTTTAGGTCACAAAAGGCATCAGCATAAAGGACGAGTCTCTATGGAAACCCTGTTTTGGATTCAAGAAGGGAAGAACAAGAAGACAGCAACTAATAATAGCTGGACAAAAGCAAAGAAAGTCAAGGCAAAAGCTAAATACACAGAAGCAAACAGGAAAGTGAAGCAGAGCATTAGAGTTCACGAGCAGGAATACATGGAAGACCTAGCAACGACAGCGGAAATAGTTGAAGCAGAAGGGAATATTGGACAACCAAACGATGTAACGAAGAGGCTATCAGGGGAATATGGTAAGCCAGAGCTTCTTGTCAAGAACAAAGAAGGTAAACCGATCACTGAGGTTTTAGAACAGGAGAACAGGTGGATAGGAGACTGAATATTTCTTGAGTTTACTGGACCCACTAAACACAACGGACATCGAAGCAGTACACACAGACCTTCCTATTGATGTCACCTCACAAAAGGTCGAGGAAATCAGGATGGTTACCACGCAAATCAAGAACGGGAAAACAGCAGGACCAGACAACATGCCAGCTGAAGCACTGAAGTCAGACAAACAGGTAAAAGTAAAGATGCCTCACATCCTATTCAGGAAGATTTGGGAGGAGGAATGAGTGCCGACAGGCTGATATCTCCTCGAGATACCATTGAAAGGAGATCTCAGTAAGTCTGAGCACTACAGGGACATCACACTCCCATCGGCACCAGGAAACGTTTTCAATGGAGCGTTGTTGAACCAGATGGAAGATTTACTAGACACCCAACGTTGAGACCGATTCGCGATACTACGGATCATCGTTGAACAGTCAGTTGATGGGACTTATCACTATACATCAACCTCCTTGATTGTGAGAAGGCATGGATAGAATGAACCTATGAATCCTTCTTCAACGATATGGTGTACCTGAGAAGTTCGTCAGCGTCGTATGGAATCCATAAGATGGACAACAGTGCAAGGTCGTGCTTAGTGGACAGCTGGTAGTTGCATTCCAAATGAGGACCGGAGTCATGCAAGGCCACATACTCTCCCCCTTTATCTTTCTTCTGGTGGTTGACTGGATTATGAAGATCACGACATAACAAGGGGAACATGGAAAACCTAGGACAGCTTACATGCAGCCAGATGATCCGAACTTCGCAAATCATCTAGCTATTCTACCACATACACACCAACAAATGAAGGTCAAGACAGCCAGTGTAGCAGCAGCAACCTCTGCGTCAGTAGGCCTCAACATACACGAGGGCAAAAGCAAGATCATGAAATGTAACACACAAAGGTAATTACGAAAAATTTTTTGCTCAAGATACTCAATGTCCATTGAACGGAAACCATTAGCAAAAGCCTACTGTGGGAGAGGATAAACCAGCTTCCATCTGAAGATGAAATTAGGGAAAGACGATGAAGGTGGGCGGGACATACATTGAGGAAATCATCAAACTACATCATGAGGCAAGCGCTAACGTGGAATCTTGGAGGGAAACTGAAGAGTGGAAGATCAAAGGATATACTATGTCGGGAATTGGAAGCAAACGTTACAAGGATGAATAGCAACTTGAAAGAACTGGGAAAGATTGTCCAGTAGAGAGTTGGATGGAGAACGCTGATGGGGGGGTCTATGCTCCTCCACGAGAGGCAACATGCGTGAGTGAGTGAGTAAGTAAGTAAGTAATAGTTCGAATCACTTTATACACTACATGGTCTTTGACCAAGTATGTTAGGATTTGTAATCACATGACCATTTCTCTCACTTTATATAATCTATATTCATTCAGATTATTCATCTTATAACTTTACTGAGCAAATAAATTTATTTATTTAACATTCCAAGCTAACGATTTTTGCATTAACATTTCATTTTACAGACAATCCTAAATTTATATTAAAACGTATGTACAAAGTGATTTCTGTGTTTTTAAGTCGTATTATTTTTATCGTGATTAGTGTACTCAGAATTGTTAAGTAGGTTGGGTTTAGATGATATATAAGATAATTGGGTAATACTTCTATTTCATTCTCATCTCTTATATTTATCCTTATTTATATACACTCAATTACTTGACAGTTGTTAAGTCAATATGTTACACTGGTTACAGAACGAAAGATATTCCGTCTATTATGCCTAATTTCAGTGGTAAAATAAATTAAAAACATTCGTCAATACATTATGGTAAATGTCGTAATAACAATAGCAGATTTTACCTCCATATCTTGTTTCTCATCTGAAGATATTGTTTTCGTAACCATTTCTGTGGTAATAAATAAAGTATTCAATTTAATTGGTTCTTTAAGACATATATAAACAACACCACGTAGTGCACCACCTGGAACTACAGCTGAATCGAATATACGAATAATAACACGTTCCACAGAATCATTAAGTTCACCAAATTGATTAGATAAAGTTGCAAGCTTTTGTTCAGGTATATCACTTAGATCAGGTTTTCTAATTATAAAATAGTCATCAAACATATATGGTTCTGTAGGCGCTGATAAAGTTACAGGTGCAATGCTCATTTTTACTATCGATAAAAGAACAACATATGATGAAAAAATATATAAATAGTTTATTATTAGTTGTAAAAATGATAAATCTATTAAAATCTGTCTAATTTCGACACATTCAGTAACGTATAAACTTTAAACGATCTTAAATTATTAAAAAATTATGTATAGTTGGACTATTGGAAGATATTTTAGTGGCCCCTCGGGATCTGACTCCAATTCGGTCATAATATAATGTCAGCACGAACAAAAATAATAATTCCACGTTAGGTGATAATATAACATTAATGTGTTAATGAGACTATGATAATTATTTGAATCATAATGGGACAATCTGTAGGAGTTGGCTTACCTGCCTTCTCCACTGCGCGTCATTTCGCTTAACTCCTTTCTATTCGCTTCTCCGATATTTTATCTGGATCAACGATTGTATGAAATATACATATTTGAAATTCATTCTCGTATTTGACTTATTTAATTTCGTTATTCACTAATGCGATTTAAGTCGATGAAATATACGAGGATACGCAATATATATATTTCGACAGTAATCATTCAGTAATGAACATTCTATATTGACCTAATTGGAGTCAGATTCCAGGCCACTAAAATATTTTTGATGAACAATTCAAATCATGTAACTTAAAAGTTCAGAATAAAACTATTTAACATTTATTACATAGTTTTTTGATTTAAAAAAAAAAAGAAAATACAAACTTTCAACTCATTAGCCTGGTATACTTTCAACCCAAATTTGAAGTTATTACTAAGATTTAGATCAAGTAACCTTCACTTCAAACATTTTATAGCAACTCACGCGCATTGAGTTGCTTCACATTTAGTTCGGTCAAGTCATTTTGTTAACTTATTAACGAACTGAGTCATCCGTACAACAATTTATCTATATCATTGTTTCTTTATTATTGTTGCGAATGTATGAACATATATATGCTTGAGCATTGCTTACTGCCTACGCATTTATTCACGCTGCTAGCCTTACTACTAAGTGCTTAATTGATTTGATGATTCATTCATTTCACTATGTATATATATGTCCATGTTATTCATGTTCGTTGCTCTCTCTCGCTTACTCGTACTCATATTAGCTGACTCACTCGCTAGATCGCTTGCCTGCTTGCCTTTCGGCACAACTCTTTCATGCTTGTTTGACGCACCTGTAATTTTGGATATCTGTGTGTGGTCTCATAATAAACATAATCAACACTTCATATTCGCCTTCTGATTAATATACCGTTGGGGCGTTATCTAGTGACAGTTATCAAGACAAACTGTATACGAAGTTTAAGGATTATATGAAATACTGACCACCACAATCTGCTACCTTATCAATTGAACTACTGAGTTCACATAACTATTCAAATGTGAGTCTCGTTAAACATCTTTTATCATAAACTAAATGATATTGATATTTGAAAACTTGATCATCTAATTTTTTTGACAAAATTACAAAGAAGACCTTGTGTTTCATTAAATAAAACAATTGAATATAAGGATGATATGAGTTTTTTAATACATTTTTAAATTCTTCGACAATATAAATGGTGTATATTAAAGAAGTCAGATATACACTGTGAACAATCTAATTAACAGAAAACTAATAAATAGTTGTATTACTCTAGTTTTTTTTAAAAAATAATTTCTTAATACCTAATACTCACTATCGCAATCAAGATGAAAATAAGAATTTTTAAGTCTTCCAATGCCGTATATCTAATATTGATTCATGTATATTGGTTGACTGGATCTTCCCATTGATGTTTAAGATTGAAATTGACCAATCTATTTTGGTATATGTGTACGACTTGTCATAAATATTAGTGTCCACTTCATGATTTAACTTTTGGATGCAGGTACATTCAGATAATGAGTCCCAAATAGTACAAAACGAGCATTATGGACTCCACTATTAGTCACCACTCATCTCTGATTAAACTGTACATCTAATATATGATTGGATAAGGCACATTTATCACCATTTAGGATTGTTATTTAACTCATTTTAGTTTTAGCTATGTGCTTAAGAAGATAAAATGTATCTAATGTACTTTAGAATTAATACAGAATCATTTTCACACAAAAAAAATTAAAGTAGAATCTAAATAAAGTTTTAACAAATTTCATATATGTGCCTGGTCCTACGTTGTAGCTGACTGACTGACTCATATGAAATTTAGAAGACAATAGTCATCGGTTAATAACTTGATGAATAGTATGATATAATAGTTTTAAAAATTTCACTTACCTGGTGATATTTCTTCACGGTCATTATGTGCCATAACATCTCTTCTCAATTTCGATGGTTTAGCATAAACTAACTGTATATGCTGTCTATTACTCACTTTTGGTGAATTTGCCATGCTTTGATTTTTATATGACTAAAATAAACAGTTTTCAGAAAATTGTAACAATGTACATTGATTATTTAATAGACAGTTTTCTTTCTAAACAAAAAATTTTCAGATGGGTTTTCTGGAGATTGTAGTAATTTCAATAGTTAATATCATGAGTCAGTTGAAGCTAGACCACCATGGAAAACCTAGAAGCACTGGACCACCGTTTCGTCCTGGGTTCGAATCTCTCGGGGTGCGGGATCGTGGATGCGCACTGTTGAGTAGTCCCACCATAGGACGAAACGGCCGTCCAGTGCTTTTAGGTTTTCCATGGTGGTCTACCTTCAACTGACTCATGATCTTAATTATTGAAAAAAGAATATTTTAAAATTAATTACGAAATTAAAAAATGTCTAACTCATGAAATCTCTATGTTTATTCAAGTTAGCAATGTTACAGATTGTAAAAATGAAACAAATTATTGGTACAGAATACTCACAGTTATAGTGAAATCATCTAAATCATTAGACATTTCTACTTCATAGAAGTTTGTGTTCATACTGAATTAAAATTACTGAGTGAAAATAGAATAATTTATAGTTTAGAAGAAAATTTCTAAGATCAATAAAGATTGGTTACTATGTAATGGATTAACCATTTATAACATAGTTCAAAGACAAATTATTTCTGAACTATATTGTCATATTTTATAAACACATAAGTCTAACCAACAAAAAGAAAATATTTTGACCTTGTACTTAAACAATTACAGTTGAAGGTATGAATTCTTTCATAGTTTTCTTTTTACATTGTGTAGGCGTGACTGTTTATTGTACTGATCACTGTCCAACGAAATCACATATTTGAGTATGATGTCTGAGTTCATTATCATCATTATTATTATTCTGAAACTTGACTTCCATATTATTTCCTTTATCTTTTTTTAAACTTTTAATGAAATAAATACTCTTAAATTTTAGTACAGTTTCTGGGTTAATTAAATAAATTTTAACCAAATAAGAAGAAAGTAATTTGAGGCATAAAACAAACACAAATGCAAAACATACAGAATTGAAAGTGTAGTTTTTAGTGTAGATAGAGGAATTTAAATAAGAAAGTTGTTTACCTTATGATGGTGTAATAAGTCATTGTATCGACAGTTTTAATCATAATAGTAATTGAAATACGAGTAAAAAAAGGATAGAAAGAGTAAATTGAAAATGTTTACGCTCTTTAAAAGTGATAAAGTCGAAAGGTGCCATGTTATCAGGATAACTAAACGTGAACAGCAGTTTCCGTTATCCTCTAAATAATGGTCTGGAATTACTTGATCGTTATAGTTCTAGGAAATCGGAATATGACTCAAGGTATTCTTGCTGTAGGAACAAAATATTTACAGTACTCACAGATGAAAAAATTCTGTATTTGTCTGTACTTCTTCACCTTCTTCCTCTTAGAATCTTCATTATCTGATTATTTATATAATTTGTTACGTAATTAAAGTAACTTTTAGTGATTATTATTTTAAGATCTGTTGGTCAAAGTTTGTCCTACCTCACGTGTTGTGTTATTTTCTTGTTTTTATTACTATTAGTAGTACACATGTTTTCTTACTAACAATTTGCACTTTTTACCTACTATATGTAGTTATACAATCTAACTCATTATGATCATTAACTCATAAACTGCCTTGATGGGTTTAATATTCTCATATATCCATATTCATGTGCATTAAAGTCTGATGACTATCTAATAGAAAATAATACTTAACAGTATAGGATTGTGGAAATTGTTGGGTTTTTATTGATAACACGAACCGATCAATGTTTGACTACTACTGAACACCTGGAAGCAGCGGACGACCGTTTCGTTCTACTACGGGACTCCTCAGCAGTACTCATTCATGATCGATAGAGGTCATACACTTCTTAATACACTTGTCAATAAGGATGAATAGCTTGATTAAAATAAATCATAATTAAAAATACGTAATATTGTTCATTTAAATGCGTTGTTCTAATATTCTAGCTGGATTTAGCTGATGACTGACCACTGAGTTTTTATTATTTTCAATGTGTTGTTTTAATGAAAACAAGGAATCGTATTTGAAGTATCCATACAAATATAAAACATAATGGAAACCTAGTGGATAACTGCTACATTTTGAATTCGGACTATGCAACAGTATATATTTACAGATCTATTCAAATTTGAAACCCAGGACGCTCATTTTACATGATAAAAACGGTATCATCAATTTGATTACATGGAATTTGAAGAATCTCATTTTTTCTACTTCATTTAACTCTTTTGACTACTTACAAATTTAGTCAGTCAATTTTTAAGCTGAAACAAAACAGGATTTATTTAAAATTTTTGAATTACCTAAATACTACAAAGAAATATATTGAACCTTTAACTAACCAACTGAAGTCTCTGAAAAGTACTAATAAGAAAGATTTACAATTGACGATTTACATCCAATATAATGATATTTGTTAGTTATATTTTAGTGAATAGAACCCTAATATATGTGCTTCCATGTTTTTATTGGTTGTTTAACCTGAATAGATTCATGATTTCATTAAATTAGCACAATCTTCATAACCGCATACTGATATGATATATAGTTGGATATAAGTATTTTTAATTAATCCAGGCAAGTAACAGTTTAAACAAACAAAATAACAATTTACTTACATGCATTAAACTTTCAGTAAACCGTGGATAAATCTCTTTGTAATTATTAGTCACATCTTCTGCATGAACAATAACAATATTAGATGACTTTAAATATTTATCTTGTTTCATCTGAAACATACAAAAAAGGCGATTTTAAGTATTGAAAAGGATAGTAAATTAAAACTTAAATGAATTTATCGCACTATCAGGGTCCTAGTTTTAAAAGAAGTAAAAACACGCGTTGTTGAAAATTTTCAGGTTTAGCTGCAAATAAACTCTCGATAAACGTTGTCACCGTCGGATGCCAGATTAGTGGTCTAGAGGTCTAGAGGCCCATTCGAAACTATCTGGCAGTTTAACGATCTTCGTCAAGGTCATGGGCAACCATCGCTCACCAATCAATTGTATGCCATGGAATGGCTCATGCGGTTGTGATCGCAGACTGTTCCTTGTACTTACTCTTACTAATTTATTTCTGCAATAATGTGATTTGTGTTGTGCGGTCATCAAGGTATCCATAGCACATGGATACGACGAAAGGTTCATCCATGTTAGGTACTAACCAAGTAGTATAACTTGGACGTTAGCTGGTTGGTCGCGCCATTCTCATCCAACTCAGGTAGGCCCCCAATCATCTATGTTGGTGATCCACAGATTCTTAGTGAAATGGATTAGCTTGCTTAAAAGTAACTCCTTAAATCAAACTTTGTTTTCATGATTATTGTCAACAAAAATCAAAATGTTCATTTGAGAGTTACTTTGTTTCTGTTCTTCATTAAAAAAGTCCTGTAAATGAATGCAAAGTGTTTACCGGATAAAACAAAGTGCCTTCATTTACTAGCTAGGGAAGTCAGTGAGGAAGATGGACATTGGTTCATTTTTAAATTCCTTTAATATGAATACAAAAGCTTATTTAGGGGGTCAGGAGCTTTTGTAGCTTCCTATTTAGCGCAACTTTTCTTGTTTTATTACTGACCAACTTCCTATAGCCTGATGCTAGTTAGGTGGTACCACTGTAACGTCATAAAGGAACACAGGTTCATCTTATTAGGAAATTAACAGTTTAAAAAAGCATTCTAGATTAGTCTTATTGAAATGGGTAAACTGCCGATTCACGGAATCTCACAAATAGCTTGCAATCATTTAAAATCAAATTACCTGAATCTTATATGACAATATAAAATACTGTTTTCAAAACAGTATACCATATCAAAATAGGATTATTTCTCGTTTTCTCACATTACCAACTAATTCATAATAAACTATATGTTACTAAAATATTAGTATTAATAATAATGATATTAAATGATCTTTCTGGTACAAAACGTATGTTTTGTTTCACATGCCTTAATGCTGAAGGACTTTAAAAAACATATTCCATTCAGTCTGGTTTCAGCTCATCACTTATGAATTTACAACTTTACTATGGTTTTGTACGTCTAAATTTCTTGTGCTTCATTTGCTTTAATCGTAATATATGATTTTAGTCATCAATTTATATTATGTCTCTAAAAGGTAATGTAGATTCATATAGATAATTCTCTAAGGTTTCATTAAATTTCTTGTATTAACTAATCTATCCATTTAATTTTTAGTTATTAAGTTTGTTGTTATAATATGCAAATAAGCAATTTGATACAAAATGGTTAATCAAGTTAGAATCTATATTTATTGTTTTGGGGTAAAAAAAAAGTGTTGGGACGGTTTCCGAGAACTATGTCGGAGCCTTCAGAAGCCCTAGAAGAGTCAAAGAGTTTCATTATCAGAACGCAATGGAGCTTTCAACGTGGCGTGCTCCTATTGGTCAGTAGCATAACATGCCTCTTTGCAGATTGGATGGATTATAATGTTGATTTAACAAACGCTAATATCTATAAATACCCATGATTTTTCCGTACATTTTGATTCTTGCCCAACAAACGCTTTCTCCAATCTTGTTCTATCTTCTCTTTTGTGACTTGGGAGGGTTCTAGCGTTTGAGTGCTCGAGTTATACGCGGTATATTAAGAATCTAAGCACTAGATATAACACAAAGAATATAATCGTCTTAAAGTTGATAAATCACAGTACAAGTAACTACTTAGTGCTGCTGTAGTCATGTACGATATTGAGAGTTAAATTTTTGGTAGATTTCATATCTTTGAGTTGACAGCATTCAACATTAATTATTAGAAAATTAATTCAACACTTAAAAATGGTTTTGATGGAGTCTTGTTCTCTGAGCTAGATGGTTTAGAGAACAAAACTCCATCAAAATCACCCAACTGAGCCACAAATCTTCTCCACTAACTTAAAAATAGTCTATATCTTATGCAAATAATTTTACTATTCTTCTATCCATTTAAGTCTTATGGTTATTTTTCATTTCACAAAATACCTTGAACTTATAATCTACTCGTAAACACTATCCGTAAAGCTGTCTATTTTTTAGATGTGTATGTGTAGCATATTTAATCGGACTCCGTTGCTAGTTAATTATGTTTTTTGAAGACCTATGATCTATGATTCAGTTTATTCATGGAACTTATTCTAGATTTATTTATTAAAAGATTGATGATGATGGACTGCATATGCTGAGTAACAACTACGATTTATAACCATGAAATTCAGAAAATGAGATTTCTTTTCAGAAACGTCATTATTGTGACGGATATAAATAAATGAAAAAATATATGAATCCATCTGAAGTCCCTCAAAGGTCATTGCCATTCCAAAGCCCGAATCGGGCATGGGGTGAGCAACACCACCACATAAAAAAACCTTGCTAAGAAATATATATATACATATCAATAATTAAATATGACTATAGAAAGATAGAGATTGTATTGTAAAGCGTTTCGACATTTCAAATATCCAATTGGGTTTCGTAACAATCAGGAGGTTAGAGAAGAATAGGAGAATGAAAATAATTTACAGATCAGAAGTATGAAAGATAATTGTCCACTTGACAGTTGTGAAGAACAATGGAAAACGTAAAGGTCATAGTAACAATTGAATAACAATCACGAAAAAGGGTAACAATAACTGGTAACGGTTTAAAATTTCAAAAAAATAATGCAAGCAATACAAGACCAAAACATAATACAAGGGAGAATTAGGGCCAAGGAAGGATGATGGGTTGAACGCAATGTTTTAGCACGCACAGTTCAAACTTAAATAGATGGATGGCCAGCGCCTCAGCATTACATAAGTTTTGATACGCCTCCCCTCTATTCAGTTCACTTGATTATGTAGATTATTTTGAAGAAAGATTCCTTTAGAACGACGTAACCAGAGTCGATTAGGTACTTCTATATTGAACTGATGACTGTTATGCATTCTCCTTTTAACAGACACTCCGGGTAATCTTCTGAGATGTGTTTGGAAAGTGATCGCTTGTACGACCAATGAAATCTGTCCCACGTGATCAAGTAAATTTATAGATACACATCGATGAGACCCAAGGAGGAAGTCTATCCTCAACACATCTATGAATGGTAGGCCGGCTTGAGAAAACAATTCGGAGTTTAGCGGAGTAGAACGTTTAATTCAGTGATTTTGAAATCAGTTAACTCAAGATTTTGCCAGACGTATTCAAAACCCTATTCCTAAACAGTTTTCTGTCCAACTCTTGATGTTTTATCAAGAAGGTTGTATTTGTGTTAAGTTTCTTCCGACGAATCTAAGTGGATAAGTATTTCTGTCGTTTATTTGTCGAAGTTGAAGTACTTTGTCATCTATTGTGTCAATAGAACATATTTGGTCTTCGAGGATAAAAAGTGAAAAGAGTTCCTCTTTCTACTCAACGGGACCCAACTATGAAAACTCGTATACTGAGCATTTCAGGTCGCTTTTTGTATGTAAAACTCTGTAAGGAACCATCTGACCTTCCTTCCAACAGGACATTAGGGAAATTAAATTCCTCCTTCGCCTCTTGTAATGTGGGTTGAATTGAGTGATGACAGCTATTAAATATATCCAAAATGCCATTGAGCTCCATATATTCTTCACAAATAATGAAAGTATCATATATATATCCCGTAAATCAATGAGATCTCTTAATTATAGATCGAAGTACCGTACCATTGTAACCCCATCAGTTGATCTATAGAAATCATCATGAAATGTGAATTGCACGTTGAGAGTACATTGTGGAAGTAGCGCTTTTAGATGATGTTTTGGAATACAAATATCAAGGTTATTATTTTCAATAAACTCACATAAAAGCACATAGTTTCTGTGAGAGGAACATTTGTAAAGTGAGAAGTGACATCCAATGAGATCATTTTCCCACCATTTATATTGATATTTCCAATCGAGCCGAAAAAGTCAAAGGAACCAAGGGAGTTGTATCTATTGATGTGATTTTTAACGGGTTGTAACCATTTAGCAATCAGGTGATACGGAGAGTTGTTCATATCAAGTATAGGACTTAGAGGAACATACTTCATATGAACATTTGGGACTCCATATAATTTCAGTATGATGAAATACGATGCTCTTAGTTGTTTATAGAAGTTGCAATTGATAATAGACACATCCTTCATCTTCCTTAGGATTTTGGTTAATATCCACTCCATTTTGTCAGTTGCAGCTTTTGGCTTATTTGGAGAATTGGACAGTATCCGATAATGTAGGGTATAATTTGACATCATAGTCGCGTCGATCCAAAAGTACAATTCCCGCATCCTTACCTTTGAGACACAGCATTAAATTCTGATTTATCGGAAGATCAAATAACCGAGATTTATTTTCTTTTGTGAGCGGTCGTCTAGTTGCAGGTATCGTGTTTACATATTAATTACAACAGTTAACTAGAGTTGTTTTGAAATATTCATAATCTCAACTATATACGTGTGTAAGGTCACTTGTCTGAAGAATGAGGCATTCAAAATCAATTTTAGCACCGACTTTATCAATGTTATTTGATGTATTGCAAAATTTAGGACCAATTGCTAATGTTTGTAGTGGAATAGTCGATGATAGTATAAAACAGTAATTAAATACATACGTTTCTAGTGTTGTCTCAAAAGAGCACGGATCTCAGTCGGTTTCGAACTTTCCAAATCTTCTGTAGGATTTATAGCAACTTTATCAGTGTAATCCTTAAATCTAACGCGTTCGTCTTCCGACAAATCATATGAAATATGTGTTCGTAATGAAATATTTCGTTCTATTTCTGATATTCCTGACTTGATTTCATCAATATAATTCAAGGTGAGACATTTCAAATAACGATTATTTGGATGGATCTGGGTTCGACATAATGTTTTGAAAACTGGTCTCGGATAATCATTTATGTCTACACAGCTTTGCAGAAAATCGACTCTGACATTTGCTATAACAAGCTTGACAGAAGAACCAAGAGACACATTTTAATTCTTCGGATAATTAAAATCCATTGTGTCATCGAGTAGAAATAAATAGAATTCAGGGAAAAAAAACTTCTTTTGAAACGAAGTGATTTACTTAAGCTGTATAATAGTACTTAAAGCTGTTTGGTTAACCGTAAACAGTTATTAATATCATCCCTTCTCAAGTTTATTATTATGAGCTTTACGTTTTTCAGTGTTCTTCACAACTGTCAAACGGTCAATTATCTTCCATAATTCTGATCTGTAAATTATTTCCATCCTCCTATTCTTTTCTAACCTCCTAATTGTTACGCAACCTCAATTGGTATTTGAAATCTGCATTTATGCATGAATATATTAGATGGATAAATGAGAATAACATTGAAATTAATTTTAATTCAGCTCTGTAAAAAAATATTACACAAAATGATCTGAACAATAGACTTACTTTATATTGATTATTAACCTTATCTTCGTTTGCTGACGTCTGAAAAGTTCTAAACTTACTAGGAGATATTACACTACTTCTCGTCATACTGGGTGAATCATCAATTGCACTAGTTTCTGCAGTAGGAGTTGCATTCCTTGGTGAAAATGGATTATTCTGAGTAATACTACTATTATTCATTCCCTAGATAAAATCATCATATAGATTAGATAAATCTAAATGAGAATATTAATTTTGCATATATTTTTATAATACATTTCAAAACTTTGGTAACTTATTTAACTGTATCATTATTTGACCCTTTCTATCACTTATAGTATCACTTAAGTATATACCCCCTTGTTCAATTATCTGAATACCTCTTATTATACAATTTTATAATTCTTAATGAATGTTATTTCAGGGTCTATTTTTTCTGAAGTCGATGACATACTTTTTATTGATTGATTCAAACCTTTATCATCCCTTAACGCAACCAGTACACTTATTATAACATTATCAATTTGTACTTTTTACTCATTTTTTAAAAAAAATTATGTAATCTATTCCACTGTTATCACTGACGTATCAACTGTCATGATTTATTCAATATTCCCATATTTTTATACTGATATTCTTGTATATTAGAATAAAGCTTAATAAGGATCTAATTAAAAACAATATTATTCGCTTAAATATGTTGTTCTAAGTTGGTTTTATTTATAGTTCCATTTTTTAAACTGATCGATTCTAATTCATGTACTTCTTAATTACGATTAATCTGTGTGTTTAGTTATTTCAATCAATCTTGAATTCAAATATCCTTGGTCACTATTTTTGTTGTTCTTAAATCTTCTTCGGTATATGATATTCATTCGCAACATTTTTTTTTCAAATATTACTGACTTTAATCTGGATCTTTGATCCGTTATTGCGGTACTTATTTATTTCTTAAAACATAACTTATAGTATCATCCATAGTTTTAATGTTGAATTATTATTATTTGTAATTAGCATCTGATTAGAATTTGAATGAATTTATGTTACTCTGTTTAAACACTTTTTCTTACTCTCTTCAAAATAATATAGGAGACTATGTGTATGAAAGGATAATCTTTGTTAAATCGACTTGTAAGACTGTAGTCAAATTGTGTTTGTAGTTAAACTACATAATTGTAGATTTTTTTCATTGAGATCATGAACCGATTGATGTTAGATCACCACCTTTGGAAACTTGGAAGCACTGAACGGTCGTTTCGTCCCATTGTGGGACTTCTCAGCAGTGCGCATCCACGATTCCGCTCGCGGGATTTGAACTCAGGGCCTTCGGTCTCGTGCACGAACGCTTAACCAACTGGATCACTGAGCCGGCATCCAATGGTGATAGTGTCTACGCGCACTGCTGAGGAGTCACACAATAGGACGAAACGGCTGTTCAGTGCTTCCAGGTTTCCAAAGATGGTGGTCTAACATCAATCGGTTCATGATCTCAATCAAAGAAATTAATAATCTCAACAAACCCTATACTAATAATTGTAGATGTTAGACTTTTCATTGTTCTTTAAATAATACATATTTGGATTATTAGAATTAGAATTGATTATACTTGGCATATTGCTAACGTTACTGCTAAACAATTTAACTATTGGGTTGAAACTTTTTTAAACGATACTTTTACAAGTAAAAATGAAAAAATGGCAACAAACACCTCCAATTACATTTTTGTAATATATGTATATAAGTGTAATTTCTATATCATAATTGGAAACCATTAGTTATAGCTTCGTAATATAATCTCTATTTGGCACACTATTCAATATGATGTCATTTATGTGATGAGTAGGATGAATTAAATAAATGTAGGGATTGTCCATAAGTTTATATTTTTCCAGTATGTTATAAACCATATCAACAAGTTATGAAAGCAAATAATATCGACCTTTCTTAAAAATGACATAGAAAACTAATATGTTTAAAACTACTATCATGTTTTTGAATAGACCAGTAGTATACAAAAGAGAATATATTAGTTTTCAATTTGATTGTTAGTTACACTAAATATAATAAGAACCTAGAACAATCCAAATTTACATAGGTTGATATTATAGTAAGATATTTGATGAAATGTATTTAATAATGTCAATATATGAAATTATTTATTTACTGTTATCAACTATTTAGATAAAACCAATTGATTAGGTCAATCAGCAACAATCTAGGACCAGGCACATATATGCATGAATACAAGTTGCCACACCTCACTAGCACAACAAGATGAACACCAAATTCATAAATGTAGTCACTTCAATGATAGTAATATATAAGAGAAATATTGCATATAAGGATATAATACAGGAAGAAGGAATTAGTTGGTAGGAAGAAATATATGAAGTAAATTTAATCTCACGGTTTAGGAGAGACGGAGAGTGTATACACCGATTCGATCGTGATCGATTCTCAGCCATGTCACCCACAGTCTCCAACCATTCATTCCGACAGTCACGCCGACCCCAACTAAGTAGACTGCATCTACCAACATGGTTCAGACTAGAAGTTATTGACTTCAGGGACTGGTCCCACGTTATGATTAGGCCTCCCCTAACTTTTTTCCAACCGTCTCCAGCATTAGTCAGCATTACGCGTCGTGGTAATCGGACATCTGTGATCAAATAGTAGCAACTTACGAATATCTTCGACTCTTATTTGCTACGTTTCGCAGCCGTAAATTGAAATAAAACGAACTGCCGCGCAGTATACTCTTTCCTTAGTTGATAGACAGATATCTCATCTTCGCCATAGGTAACGTAAGTTGGCAAAAGCCAAACGAGCTTTCTAAGTCCGTGCAGAGATTTCGTCAAACACCAAACCATTTTTGTGTTATTTATACATAGATGCTGTAGTTCTTTTCTACAATAAATTATCATAAATATCACTCTCTCTAGCTTTACGCTTTATAGACATTTTCAACCGTGTCTGTTGTGAAGCAGTAACTCAGTGAAGGCGGTGGTGGACGGTCGAGCATTATCGTTGATCGGTTGACGCTAGACATTAACACCGTTGGATGCCGGCTGGGTGGTCTAGTGGTTAGGCGCTCGCGTGCGAGACTGATGGGTCCTGGGTTCGAAACTCGCTAGACGGGATCGTGGATACACAGTGCCGAGGAGTCCCACAATAGGACGAAACGGCCGTCCAGTGCATCCAGGTTTTCCATGGTGGTCTAGCTTTAATCGACTCATGAATTCAACTGTTAAGTTTTATTAATCATTTGGTCAATAAGTTTAGTATAACAATTTTCTTTGAACTCAAAGTAAAAATAATTAATACTTATTTTAATATCAGAAAAATTAAAGATAGTTCTATTTTGTAGACTATGTTAATTGACAGTGGAATCTATGAAGGTTGATTCCATGTATTGTCTTCAACCGGACAGTAATATATTTACCAGTTATAAATTTAAAGAGACGTAAACGTGTGTGATATGACTCTTTTCATACAAATAATTAATTTAAGTAATCATAAATGTAGAAAAAACGTACGATAAGAAAAACTGGTGTAAAACTAGAAAGCATAAAAGTCTGGATATTTTGGCTACAGTTTTAAGAAACGCCATGGTTTCGTTGAGTTATTGATATGAAATCAAAGAATAATTGCCAAAAATATAGGATAACATTGTAAATTATTTGGCTAACACCATAGTTACCAAGATATTTTCAGTTTTTCTCAAATCGGGATTCCTTAGTTGGATGAAATACTTATTATGATGTTGTTTGGTTGTGACTAACGATGGAAATAATGAATATAAGTTTCTGTTTAAAAAAATTCCACTTAGATTACATTGTTTCGCCTTGTTGAATGCGATAGGCACAACTTCCTTAATTATATTGTTATGCTAGGTTGTAGCTGAATATCTTAAATGTATCTCACATTTGTCATTGGTGTACAAAGACATTCTTTGACAGAAAACTATTAGTTGGACCAATGGATACTGACAATATTATCATCGAAAACATGAAGAAGTTGACTTTTTCTCGTAAATAAAAACTGATAATAAACATGCATAAATATTGAATGTCGTATGAGTAGCCCGGGATATGCAAAATTTGCTAAAAATATACTCAGATTTACTAGCTGCTATTTTACTAATGGAATGTCTATCATTACAAATCGGTTTCCTTTAAAGATAGTGTCAAACAGTACATCCGCAATGTGTGCTACACCAACCGATTGATTACTAGCATCCATTAATATTAGTTGTCTAGTTTTCAGATTAGATCTACCATTAAAAACTAGCTATGTAATATGGTCACTGAATTAAACAACACTCACTCAGCTGGACATTTTATGTTAGTTTTTATTTTGCTTAAGTTCCATACACAAGCCTGATGTTCTGTTCAACGATTTGAATCCATTTGAAATGATTTGAAACTGTTCATTTCAAAAGAAGTGATTGAACTTACTAATTTCTATTCATTATCAGTGAATGTTAAGCGAAAACTTTAAATGACGATAAACTTTACTATTACATGGCCGGATTAAATTAATTTTGGAATTCGAATATAGTCTACTTTTCCTTTACGGATTGATTACTTAATTTGTAATCACCAGTAAGTTGTAGTGTAGATTAAAGCAAAGAATAAAAAAGAATTTCAAATGAACTTAACTAATTTAGAATCCGACATGAGAAAGTCAAACATTATAGTTCAAGTGAATTTCGCTGTTTGTATCATAACAACTTAAGTCACATTTTTATAATACATGGATTGTGGTTAGCAGTGAAGCTGAGGACTGTTTTCCCCATTTAGGACTCTTTGTCTAGCTTATCTGTATTCCGATGTTGGTGTTCAGGCCGAAACTTGAGTCCAGCGCCTTTCTCTCCAAATCATCAACTCGTTATCTAATAAGTAATTGAGTCCAGATTGTCACCCACTCGTTCAAAAAGGCATGACGTCCACAATGTTATAAGTATGGGTTTGAATTGTCCCGTTACTGATATCCAAAAGTGAACTGTGATTAGTCTTTGTTTGTATTTTTAAATTCGTGAGCAGATTACACTGATATTACGTCGACGTTTGAAGCGAAGTTTAACCGGTTCGATTCTCTGTATAAACATCAACGGTGTAAGTACATCCGGTTGTAGAGTTCCAAATGGGGGGAAAGTTTCATCTTGGATTTCACTGCTAACCGCGGTTCAACTACCCTCAAAGTATGAAACGAAATAGCTATATCAAGGTGATCTTATTGCGATGTATATATATCAACAAAGTTTGTTCATTATTTGGTCATATTTATTGTGTCAAATATATCAGAAAGCATAATGATTTTTTAATAACCTATGATTCATGTGAGGATTTTCATGTGCAAAATATATCTATGTGAAATAGGTTGGTAATATTATATCGTGATCACTGAACACACAAGGTTGATAGAAACTTATGATACTAAACTAACTCAGATTTAAAGTCTGTTGATTTAGCATTTTCGAAGTTTATTAATGGGCTAAGGGAATGATAGATGGTAGGCAAAACACTCCGAGACTAGGTTTCGTACTAGCTAAAGCGTATCTATACTTATGGGTCACTGAGTAGAAACCATTGTAACCTTGCTTACTCCTTAGTAGATATCAGATCTTACAGTGAGTATCAGGTTCCTGGAGGCCGCTAACAAGTGGTAACTACTATGAACTTAGAGACCAAGGCTTCAGTAATCTATTGGCGAAACGGACATTGTAGTTCTAGGTCAAATAGTCTACTAACAATACTGTAACCTGATCAATAGATTTCAATCAATACAATGGAGTAGATACTTTAACATTGTGCACTACTTAGTGAATAATTAATGTAAATTATATGATATTTACAGAACAATTTTTTTCTTATTTAGATATTTAAGTCAATTAAAAATTTGAGAATTTACTTAAGATAGATTTAGTTTAAAATTCTGAGTTAATAATAAAATACTGATTCCTTTATATGCATGCATATATATATATATATATATATATATATATATATATATATATATATATATGTCAGTCAGTGACAACTTAGAACCAGGCACATATATGCATGAATACAAGTTGCCACACCTCACTAGCACAACAAGATGAACACCAAATTCATAAATGTAGTCACTTCAATGATAGTAATATATAAGAGAAATATTGCATATAAGGATATAATACAGGAAGAAGGAATTAGTTGGTAGGAAGAAATATATGAAGTAAATTTAATCTCACGGTTTAGGAGAGACGGAGAGTGTATACACCGATTCGATTGTGATCGATTCTCAGCCATTTCACCCACAGTCTCCAACCATTCGTTCCGACAGTCACGCCGACCCCAACTAAGTAGACTGCATCTACCAACATGGTTCAGACTAGAAGTTATTGACTTCAAGCATTGATGCCACATTTTAGTTTGGCCTCCCCTAACTTTCTTCCAACCATCTCCAACACCGGTTAGCATTGCACTTCGTGGTAATCGGTGTTCAGACATACATAACATGTGGCCCAACCATCACAGTCGATGTTTACTCACAACCCCATTAACTGATTTACCATCGTTCCCTAATACCCTGCGTCAAACCTCACTATTACTTACTCGGTGATCCCAGCAGATGCAAGCAATACTTCTAAGACATCTGTAGTCAAATACTTCTAAGAGGCAACCTGTTTATGTTTCAGTATAACAAATAAATATAATGATATTAAAAACAAAAGTCATTGAACAGTGATCTAAGGTTTCTATTATTAAATGACTCAAAAGTTAAGAATTCAATTTTATGTGTTTGTATAGTTATTAACTTATCTATATGTAATACACCTAGTTTATACATTTTGTTTATTTAAAATGCAATTACAAGAGTAAATAACATATATATGCGTAATATATAACTTACATCGGCAGAAACTTCAAAAGAATTCCCTGTAACGACAGATGAATTTGTTATATTCATAACTGTCGGTGTTTTATGATTTATTTTTGGTGTAGATGAAGCAATTGCCACAGGACTAATATTTCTATTTATAGATGGTGATTCAGATTGTTTACCAAATTGTGTATCATTTTCAATTTTCTCATCCTATTAAAGGTCAATAAAATAATTTAATGTATATAAGTAAATTCCAAGTGAATATTGAAAATTCAAAACCATGTTATATTATATAATAAATAGTCAACTATATATAGTAGGTTCAATTGATATTATTTACTTGAATCTTCACACTGATGTTTAGGACTTCAATTTATCAGTTTCATATTGGCATATATGCGTCCTGTGCGTATTGCCTCAATATTGCCTTAATTCACAAGCATTATAATTAAAGATGGATAATGGCTAGCAATGGAATCAAGGATACATGTCTCACCCTATTTGGGACTCGTCAGCTGGATGTGCCTGTATTTCAGAGTTTATGTCCACTTTGAGACTTGAACCCTAGTACCGTTCGCTTCAAATGCCATCACGTTATCCACTTAGCTACTGAGTTCTGATAGCCACTTACTTGTGCAATGGGGTGTTTAGAAACGAACGGTACTGGATTCGAGTCCCAGAGTGAATATGAACTTTGAGATGCAGGTACATCTAGCGCGTCCTGGATTCCATTGCTAGCCATTATCCATCTTTACTTATATATAAAACCATTTAGATATCTATTACTCGTAATAATAATAATCATGCATTAATAATTAAGTGTAATACAATAATAATAAAGGAAAAACTTACAGTCGAATATTTCTATTAGATATAAATAATTTTACAACTTTTTATTCTGTTCATAGGGATAAGTGTGATTTTTGTTCACTTAGAACATGTTTCATGTTTATATCGATAAATGAAAATGGAATAATTATCTACTATACTGTGTGTCATCATTACTTTACAGATTATTAGGATTATAAAAGTATGTCATTGGTTTTTAATCACAAGATATTGAAATACTATATAGTATATAAAAGAATCATGTGAATTATTATTGAATTAATTATAATACAATTTTGGATTGAATCACAGCCAAATGAGAAGAAGAAGGAGAAGAAGAATAAGAGGGAAATTTCGTCTTTAAATATAGTTGTCGATTTATAATAAATAAATTTTAATAGTTGAATTTATGAGTCGATTTAAGCTAGACCATCATTGAAAATCCGGAAGCACTGGATGACCTTTTCTTCTTAGTATGAGGTTCCTAAGCAGTACACATCTATGATCCCGCATGCTGGATGAATTCAATTATTATAAATTATTACAATATCCACACACTTCTATTCTAATAACAAATACATTTTAATTAAATTAGAGGTAAATTATTAGCTATGAACTCTTGTTTTTAGCACAAAACGTGTAATAAAAACTAAATCATCAATTTTTAATGGAGAATATTGTAGTTATTTTAGTTACGTTTTCTTCCAAGTTCCTGAGACATTTTGATTTAAAATAAACAAGAAATGAAGCGATGTTAATCATGATATGATTCCATCGACTATTATAATAAACTCTGCATATATATGCATGAGCTTCTATAGAGCACTCCAAATCGATAAAATTGTTATTCAATTTAAAGAGTTGAATTATGATATGAATAGGCCAAAATATTCTTCACAGACATCCATCCTAGTTAAGTTCAATAGTGATAAAAGTCTACTGTATGATTATATATATGGTCTACTACAAATTAATCCATCTATAATATTTTGATCGATATGCGAACCTTTACTCAAAATATTTTTTTAATACTCAACTACATATTTCTTTTGGGTTAACAGGGAAATGATTCATTAAATATCTAATTTGACTCTTCCTTTGTATCTGCGATATCCTTCTTACATCAGGTTATAATCATTTTAAATTTCATATAATTTGAATATTGTTATTGTTGGAACATAACAGAAGGGAATCTGAAGATCATTTAAATTGCTCTCCTCGTATTTTAGTGCAATAGTGAAACAGTGTTTCGTTTTGTGCTTTATTTGCTTTCGCTGCATTTAATTACATTTTCCTCTTTTCTTGAAAACCAATTTGCCAATTTTCTGGTGTTAAACATTTAGGTTAACTTCGTTAATGATATTGCTTGAATTCGTTTCTATAGTTCTCTTCTCATCTGTTAGTCATAAAGAGTCTGCTAAAAATCTCTTATTTTTCTGAAAGCATAGTGACATACACTAAAGCTGGCTTTATACCAAGCTGACCATTATCATGTAAAAAGTCTTCCAACTACATGGAGTTCCTATTTAATCTTTCATTGAATACATGTGATATTGTTATCTTTGCATTGCTGTGATATTTTCTACTTCTTTTTATATCAAAAACGAATATCTAAATATGACTTTAATAGAGAACGATTAGTATAGAAAAATATATTTCAGAAGGAATAACAGTGATCCGTTGATATTCTTCAAATCTCATTGTTCTCATTTAAATACAAATGATCTAGTCTCACGAATGGTTAATCGCGGTTCAACTAATAACAATTCTAATTGTCACCGTAAATAACATAACTTCAATTCTCAGGAACAAAGTTAATTGTTTCAGATATACACATTAATACTCTAAGAAAAGTATGTGATGTATATATGCATTCCTATAATCAGTCTTCTTTAGTTATGCATGTTGTTTATGATCAATTGTATTATTTATTCTATACACGTTCATAGGCAAGTAAAAGTGTATCTATCAATAAACAAAAACTTCATTTTGTTATTAACAATATAATCTTTCATTAGTTTATGATTAAATATTTTGATCAATTAAACATTCATAATTAATGGAGTCATTTGTTTCAAATCAATAAAAAACAATGAATTATCTTATAGATTTTTCATTACTAAAATATTTCAATAACTATTAGAACAAAAAGAAATCTGTTTCTGTATTCCATATTTTTTTTTGTTTCTACTGTGTAAATACTCCATATGATTATTACTAAGATATATTATGATATGCATCATTTTACTAGTGATTAACTCAACGTTATTATGATATTGGTTAGAATATTCATTCATAATTATAATTATCTTTATACGAATCATTGTATTGTTTATTATGTTCATCTTGATTACATTAATCAAAATGGCAAATTTTCGTCAAAGAATGATATCATCTAGTGAATTATTGGGTGGAGTCGTAGATGCGCACTGTTGAGGAGTCCCACAATAGGACGAAACGGCCGTTCAGTGCTTTCAGGTTTTCCATGGTGGTTTAGCTTCAATTGACTCATCATCTCAACTGTTGAAATTACTACAATCTCCACAAATTCCCTTCTGATACCAAATATATAATTGTTGAGTTGAAAATGATAGTTATTGTATTTTAGTTCAATGATCATAAGTTATGATTGGACATTGTTCAAGGTTTCTAAATAATAATGGACCAATTTTAAATTTGATAATAAAATTTATATCACTTAGTGATATGGTAATTAAACTTTGAAAATATCAGTTTCATTGATCAACTTTGTCTTACTACAATAAAAATCAAGTTAAACGTTTAAAGTACTCTATATATTCGGGACTTCATTTCTATAGAATTATTCATTTTAACTTCAGTGATTTTCATATTGAAACATTAACATCTTTAAGAGTTTGTCAAAAAAGCGAAAGATTGAACATTGAAGTTTAAGTAAACTTATAGACTAAAATATAGGATGCTTTTATGAACTTACAGAAGGTTTGAATCGTGGAAAGTGACGATAATTACTTGAATTCCAGTCACTTGAACCATTTTCTATAGAAAAAAATGAAAAAAAAATCTTATTGACAAAAGTATTGTATAGTATATGAGATAGAAAACCAAATGTAAATGCAAACATATTTTACATAGTGACTAAAAACATGAAGTTATATGTAGTCACAGGTTGATAATCAATATATATCCAGTATAAATCAACGACAATCTAGTGTAATCACTTCAATAGTTTAATTTATCATTCAAAAAGTATCCTGAGCATTAAGCTTTAAAGTTTCAAACAGACGTTAAAGATCATGTTTTTTTATTATGAAAAAGATAGAAGAAGAATATATGGAAACAGTTTGATTTTGAATATAGAGTTGTTTTATCTACGAGACTAAACTTGTAACTACTGATTGTACAATGTTTATGTATGTACGAAGGTAGAACTAACAAATTCTATTTAGAATTGAGCAACATTATTTTCTTTGTATAATCAGTGTAATTCACAGTTTTATTAACACGTATAAATAGTCACCAATCTCTACGCGCAAACATTCAGTAAAACAGATAAACCGAATTGCAATTCAATCAGCTGTTGAATATCTATCTTCGTGAAAGATATGTTCAAGTCCATTATTCTCATCCAGATCATATCCACTTCATTATTTCAAATTCCCATAGTGATATTAAATTTAACTTCTTGTTTCCCTATCCTTATTAATCTTACCACTTTCAATCTAATATTATTAGTTGTCAATTCATTTGAGTACAATTTGTAATTTTGTTATACATCACGTTAAAAAAAAGTAACTAAATGTTTTCACAATCCTTTTATGTTTATTAAGTAAACTATCCAATAGAATAGATAGTAAACTTAAACTATATAAAGTACAAATACAAGGAAAATATTCATTTCATTTAGTCAATATATAGGTGTATATGAAATAGAAATTATTCTTACTACAATTAGTCCCTTTGATAAAATTCGATAAAGTAATAAGCAGACGAAGATTATACATATTAGTGCAATACATTTCGAACAATCTGATTACACATTATATACTTGTTAAGAGCATTTATATATAAGAAAATAAAAGGTCAACTAGACTGGAAACGGGGTAAGAGGAGATAAGAATAATCATAAGAGTAATAATAATAATGTGAACACAATTGGAGCTTTTGAACAAACCAGATCCCAGCGGAGGAAGAAATCAGGAAGAAGCGCTGGAAGTGGATAGGACACACATTGAGGAATGCACCGAACTGCGTCACAAGACAAACACTCACATGGAATCCTCAAGACCAAAGGAGGAGAATAGGAAGACCAAAGAACACATTACGCCGAGAAATGGAAATAGACATGAGAAAAATGAACAAGAATTGGATGGAACTAGAAAAGAAGGCCCAGGACAGAGTGGGTTGGAGAATGCTGGTCAGCGGCCTTTGCTCCATCGGGAGTAACAGGCGTAAGTAAGCAAGTAAGAACACAATTGGACACCTAATCACTATGGATAATAAGTCAATATTACCAGGGTAAGTTTAAGGTATGAACAAACTGTTTTTGAACACACGAAGGGGGTTTGAATTTTTTTATGGCTAAGGCTTCAATAAACATTAGTATACACCCTTTTACACTTTTATACAACACCACAAAAGCCGAGTCTAGATCAATCTCGTGACCTGTTTCAATTATATGTTTAGCAATAAAGGATGATGGATCCTCTGGTCTTATTGGGTCACTTGATTGTATTTGTTTCTGCAGCTATTTTGGTACATGTTCACACACCTTAATATTGAGATCACGATTGCTCCTCCCTATGTTTATGTGACCACATACACATTTAAATTGTTAAACACAGTGTGATGTGACACAATCGCTTTCATGCCTTTTAGGTTTTGAATGAAGCATACACCTTGCTCTTTCTTTGATGATGACTTTTGCTGCACAATACGTTTTATTGATGATTGATTTCAGTCTTTGTTTCTTACTACATTTATCCTACTCGAATTGGTAATACCTTTTGTAAATTAATATAACTATAATTTCATATTATCATCTTTTAAATATTCATTAATATAGACATAAATGATTTATTGATTAAGATCATAAACCGATTGATGTTAGATCACCATTAAAAACCTGGAAGTACTAGACGGCCGATTTTTGGATAAACACTGCTGAGAAGTCCCACAATAGGATGAAAAGGCCATCCAGTGTTTCCAAGTTTTCAATGGTAACCTAACATCGATCGATTCATGATCTCGATCAAAAACTTAATAATCTCCACAAGTCATATACTGATAAATGCTTTGATTAGAAATATTTTATACATTCCAAGACTGTTTAGTTATTTTGGGGAATCTTCTTTTTTTTCTTTGTTTCTATGATAAGCAAAAACTACACTGTCAATCAATGAAAGCCAAATAAATAAAGAAAAAAATCTAGAGAGAAAAAGATTGATTGATTTTTGTCAACATTTTTTTATAAAAAAAGAACAACATAAAGCAAAATTCCACCTTAATAAATCACAGAGGAATGTCATATGTCAGTTTAATGTATCTTTATAATTAATATACGTGAATATGTTTTTGTGTGTATGTTTTTATATAAAAGAAAATTTCAGTAGTGCCTAGTGCATAGAAACCAATTTTATCTACATTTGTGAGTTTTTATCAGTTTTTTTTTTATAAAAAAATAGTAAATATTTTGTTGTTTGGTAAGGTTAATCTAAACTTCTTCTAGCTATGTAAATTTCTAATTATTTAACTCTATATAAACTTTACTAAGATATCAGAATGATGGTTTGTGGAAATTTAAGTAATTTAATAGTTGAATTGATGAAAGCGTTTGAAGGATTTCAAGATTACGGTGCCTGATACCTGATACTTACGTATGATTGGTTCGTAGAGGATTTTAGAGAAAGTGTGGTAGTTTAGCATCTACAATAGATGGGAAAACTGAGAAATTCTTCTGTTTGTGATTGTGGTAATCAAACGACTTGTGAACCTTGTGCAGTTGCAGTGATGATATTGTCTTTCGATTTAATATATACTGGAGGAAGAAGTTTGCTGGAATAGGATTTTTTTCTCTTTATCTAAATTCAGACTAAAGTAAAATATGACAATTGTTGCGAATTGGATCATAAAAGCACCAGTAACACTGGCTGCAGCCGGCTATTACAATATATACGAATGATTGGAGAGAGTACAGATGCTTACATAGACTTTGTTATGTGCATGTATGGTTATCCACAAGCGTTATTTTGTGGATCCAACAACCGGAGTTCAAATAAACAATTTTGAAGCTATATGGTCGAGGCTGGAAGAGGTTTTGCGATTTTATCATAACTCCAGAGGCTCACTATTATGAAGCAACATATACGATTTCCTCTAGCATATGTATTACGATTTCGGAGTATCTGAACCTCTTTATTAACCTTGACAAGTTGTTTAATCATTTAGAAAAAGTGTATCAACTTTAATTCTTTGGTTTTGTATAGTATATTTTTACCCTATACTAAGTGTTTTCTGACTGGTTAGTATTTCTAAAGGTCACTAAAGATTAGTTCAAAGGTCGTCCATAAATTATAGTCTCGCCGTTGAATTCATGAGTCAATTAAAGCTAGACCACCATTGAAACCTTGGAAGCAGTGGATAACCGTTTCGTTCTAATATGGGACTACTCAGCAGTACGCATCCACGATTCCGCACACGAGACTCGAATTCAGGACCTTCGATCTCGCGCGCGAACGCTTAACATTTAGATCACTAAGTCGGCATCCAACGGTGTTAATGTTTAACTTTAATTATTGTCCACCATCGTCTTCAGTGAGTAACTGCTTCATAACAGACATGATTGAACTCCACTGATGGACTAGCTTAAATCGATTCATGAATTCAACTATTAATGGCGAAATATTCATTAATTTAATATAAAAGTAAGAAAATGTAAACTAACCAAGAAAATTCAAAAATAATAGAATAATATTGTAATCATTGATAAATAGTAAGTAGCCAATGTAACATAAAAGACAGATGATTGAACAGTTACAAAATTAAGATAACATACGGTAAATTTTGAAAAATAAGTTGTGTATCATCGTAAAACGAATTGAAAACAAAAAAATAGGATATAAGCACAAAGAAATGGCACAATGAATAAATTGTTTTGATGTAAGAAGATAACAAGTTGAATATATGATAATGACTAAGATTATGATAGAAACTGTGTTCATTTGACAATATTTTGTATACAACATTATAAACTATTTATACTTATAACAATAGATTGAATAATTTCATCGATTAGATCCCTTGATAAATTTAGACTGAGCAAGAATAACAAAGTTTTCAGATCAGAATCAATTTACTAGTTTAGTTTACAGTTTCTTATCAGTTGTATACAACCTAGAATTAGAATTAAATGTATAACTATTAATGCAATTGGACGATCTAGACTTCGCAGATGATCTGGCCCTACTATCGCAAACGCAACAACAAATGCAGGAGAAAACGACCAGTGTAGCGGCAGCCTCAGTAGCAGTAGGTCTAAATATACACAAACCGAAAAGCAAGATTCTCCGATACAACACAGCATGCACCAATCTAATCAAAATGAACGGAGACGTTTTGGAAGATGTAAAAACCTTTACATATTTGGGCAGCATCATTGATGAACACGGTGGATCTGATGCAGACGTGAAGGCGCGGATCGGTAAAGCAAGAGCAACTGAAGAACATCTGGAACTCAAAACAACTGTCAACCAATACCAAGTTCAGGGTTTTCAATACAAATGTCAAGACAGTTCTACTGTATAGAGCGGAAACCTGGAGAACAACGAAACCCATCATCCAGAAGATAAAAGTAGTTTGTTAACAGTTGTCTACGAAAAATATTTCGGATCCGTTGGCCAGACACTATCAGCAACAACCTACTATGGAAGAGAACAAACGAGATCCCAGTTGAGGAAGAAATCATGAAGAAATGGTGGAAGTGGATAGGACACACATTGAGGGAAGCACCGAACTGCGTCACATGGCAAGCCCTCACATGAATTCCTGAAGGCTAAAGGAGGAGAAGAGGAAGACCAAAGAACACATTACATCGAGAAACGGAGACAGACATGAGAAAAGAATTGACAAAGATTGGATAGAACTATAAAAGAAGGCCCAGGACAGAGTGGATTGGAGAATGCTGGTCGGTGACCTTTGCTGCATTAGGAGAAACAGGTGTAAGTAAGTAAGTAAGCAAGTAAGTATAACTATTAAAAGACAGATATATGAATAAAGAATATTCTTTTCAATAAATTCTTATCAGGTTCTACAATTATATATATCCGAATTAATAGTTCAAAACATGATCAGGTTTATGGCAAAGTACATCATTTAAAATTATAATATGTAAATCAACGATTGTTTGTAATATAAAATAAAATCGTTAATATACAGCTTGAACGTACAGATTAAGTAAATGATTTTGTCGAAAAGAAAATTTACTTTGCTGAATTCACTTTTCCTTATTCAATGACACTATGAGTTATTTTAATTATCTAAATAATTAATTTTTTATTGAAATCATGAGTCGATTGAAGCTAGACCACCATGGAAAATTTGTAAGCACTTAACAATCTCCGCAACCCCTAAAATGATCATTTCCATGTGCTCACTTGTGACTAGCTTCGTGAGAAAATTCCTAGAGTTCTGGTGAGAAGCCGCGACCAGTGGAACTAATCCGTGTCGGGTACAAACAGGTGTCTACCTCAGTGCAATGGAAGATGGTTGAGGTTAGACATTAACACCGTTCGATGCCGGCTCAGTGGTCTGGTTGGTTAAGCGCTTGGCGTGGAACTGATAGATCCTGGGTTCGAATCTCGCGGGACGCGGGATCGTGGATGCGCACTGTTGAGGAGTCCCATACTAGGACGAGACGCCCGTCCAGTGCTTCCAGGTTTTCCATGTTGGTCTAGCTCCAATTGACTCATGATTTCAATCAAAAACCTCACAATCTCCACAACCCCTAAACTGATAAATCATTAATGTTTGAGTGAAACGTTAACTTGAGTGAGCTTATACGTATAAATAAAATTGTAGGATTAATTATTAGAATAAATATGGTTAATATGAGGTGAAAGAGATATTAATGTAATTATAAATCAGAAAGTACGTAATATGTAATATAATATGAATTGGGCCCGAATTAGTACATAAAGGTGGATAAATTTCTCAAGAAGGTTAGCAGGTGTAATAGTAGTACAATTGTTAATAATAGTAATAATAATGATACGATGTGTGGATAAGTCTAACCTATAAAAATAAACCTCAATCAAATGATAAAAATGATTACTAATTAGTTTGACTCGAAGTTGGCCAGAGTCAAAGGAGTGGTTGAACATATTTTGTTCGGACGTAAAGCTTCGAATTTTCGATTCGAATAATTATTGCTTCAGGTGTCTGAAGGATTCTCAATCTGACGCTTTTAGGTAGATTTTTGTTAATACGATATATTATCGTGAATGATTGCTGCATGTTAGCTCTATGGGCCGTTTGTACTAAATGAGCTAAAATCGAGCTACTAACTATACCTATACTTAGCCACACTAGGAGCTGTCAACGAACCCAAAAATACAAATTCTTAGAACATCTTCCAGTATAACTTGTTCCACAGGAGCAGTTTAATTAATAGCTATAGAAAGCAGTGGCTAATCTAGGCAATTTAGCTTTCAATCTCGGAGTGACCATTGGATGAATAGGAAATAATAATGATGGTTTGGCTGCATTATAGGTTCTTTGGATTGTTCTGTGCAACTTGAGTATTAGCATTTCACTGGTTGTATCGCCTCTAAATTTCAGGCGCATAAACAGTAGCATTTTCCGCACAGTTAGGCCTTCTTTATACTCTCTTTTCTTGGCTAAATGTTTATTTATAAACAACTCAGGATATCAATTTTCTCAGGGTAGTATGCAGTGCCTGTTTTTTCCAATCACATCTACGGAGCATACGGTCTTTATTCTATAATGAAGTGTCGTAATCAGGTTCATTATATATTGTAGAGTAACAAAATTAAAGGACCTTGTATATTGGCCAGTTTAAGTAGTTTTCTTTCTTAAGTTTCTTCTTAGTATCTCATCTATTCTACTTGCAAGTAGAACGTCTAGAAGGGTTATTCCACCTCTTTTTTTATGTGGTGATGAACTTCATTAAATCGCTTAAGTGTTTCTATCCGGTTAGTATGGTCGCTACAAAGGACGAACGTATCGTCCACATGTCGGCATCACGATGAAAACTTGTCAATCTAGTGAGCTAGTGGACTGTTTTCTGGTTTAGCGAGAAGGGTAGGGATACAAAGTGTATAGAAAAACTTAGCGAAAAACAATGTGAATTTATATGCTGGTAAGTCATAATGCAGAGTTGAATAAGTGTTGTAGTTACTAGTAATCATAATGAAGATAAAAGAGGTTATGAAAAGTCAATGGAATAAATAAGTGATTGGGTAATCGCTCAACATGATAAAGAATAAAATAAATAAATGTATCAGGATATGTATGGGAATAGGATTGAAGAGAAATTTAAAGTTAATAAAGTTTGTTAGATAAACACCAGTCACCATCGGAGGTGAAGGCTAATCACACTTTTCTTTTGTATACGTAGGTCAGGTCGCAAACGTTTTGAGTGATCGCCTCTGCAAAACGGAGTAAGTTTGGCGTTCTTTGTCTGTTAATTATTTTGAATACATTGTTAACATTCACTTCACGTCCACTATCCAAAAGGTGCTCTTGTGAAGACTAGTCGTCCTCAGTAGTAGATTGCCAGGATCATGTTCAGAAAACTAAGAAGAGGCCCTTATATTTGTTCTCTCTATAAACTTGTCTCTTAAGGCACATGTAAACCTACTGCGTTTGAATAGCATTTTTCACATTTCAAGTGACTGTAAACCATTAGTCTGTTATGACTGAAAGACAAACTTGAATAAGATTAACTACCATTTTATGCCTCATTTTATCCTTTTTTTAAAACAATTTTGCTTCCAATGAGTATAGTGTTATCGGCTTGTTATAAAGTGATAAGTATATCAATAATAAAGAGTGTTTTAGAATTACATTACAAATAAATAAGCGTTTCATACTTATTGTTCAAAATAATCATCTCATCTAACTATATATATATATAGCACTTCAATTAACGATAATTACTGTTTAAATGATGACACTTGCTTGACGATGCAAAAGGTTTTAGGTAATCTTTTCCTGCCTATTTAAGAACATCAGCTGCTCATTTGAAAACATGTCAGAAAAACCTTGTTTTAACAAGATAAAATTTTCAACAAGTACAAGGAAATGGTTTTGTAGAATACAGGGTTATTCTCAAGAGATAATTAATATGTGGATAATCTAAAATTTATACTGATTTTATATTATGGGATAAAAATAGATAGTCCATATTCCGAACTAAACAAATTTGTGATATTGTATAAAGATACAAAGGTATTCTTCTAAATTTACGATAAATAAACAATTAATAGATTAGTTCAAAGTAACGTGAAATTTATAAATTACTTACCATAGCTAAAAGAATCAGTGCAATTGAATGAACCTGCTCTCACTATTTTTGCATCTAAACATGTAAAGTAATGACATATTAACTCAAGAGATAAGTAAATATATTACTGATAAGTTATATTTCATTCATGATAAATTAAATACTTTTTAAAACGAATAAGAATGTTTCACGTTGTTTTGAATACGTATGTCTATTTATTGACTCATAGGATTGAATACAATCGACAAGGAAAAAATAAATTGTTGACAATGGTGGATTTTATAGTAATTTCAGTAGTTGAGATCATGAGTCAGTTTAAGTCAAAACACCATGGAAAACCTGGAAGCACTCGATGGCCGTTTCATTCTATTGTGGGACTTCTTAGCAGTGCGCATCCAGGATTCTGCCTCGCGAGATTCGTCCGCGCACGAGACAGAAGATCCTGGTTTCGGATCTCGCGAGGCGGGACCGTGGATGCGCATTGCTGAGGAGTTTCACAATAGGATGAAACGGCTGTTCAGTGCTTCCAGGTTTTTTATGGTAGTCTAGCTTCAATCAACTCATGATCTCAGCTATTGAAATGGTAGATTTCTTGAAAATCATTTGAATAGTTATAGTTTGTCAGGATGGTCAGCAGTAACGAACAAAGTGTGAATAAACAACTCTTCATAAAAACGGAAAACACTGCATAACACAATATGGTTAACTTAAAAGACAAAATAGAGTTTAACTAGTCTAAGAACTTTGTCATTTTCTAGAATAACATGAGAGGACTAAATTAATTCACTAAGTACTCGTATTAACGTCAGTTATATATATATATATACGAGCATTGAAGACAACCAGATCTTTATTACTTAGTTATCAATCTGTTTGTAAATATCTCAGTACCATAGGATGTCATTTGAGACCTGAATAACTCAGTCACAACGTTTATGATGGTGAAGTCGACAGACAGGAATCTGAATCTCCAAAGGAGAGCCATTTCCCTCAGAATTACAGGTACGCCTAGCACAAAACTTATGCTCAGGATTTCCTGCCAACTATCTAATATTTCAGCATAGTACCCTAAATAGAGAGTCGCTTTGTCGAATGATCACACTGCGAATCAGTCTATGGGATTCAATTGGCGTAAATAAAGACTAGGAAAACATGATATTGGTCTTAATTTAGTGATCAATGAGCTGTGCAACCAAAACTGAGGCTTGACTGAAAATTGATTTTTCGTTTAAAGACTCATTTTAACATAGTCAACAACGTAGTTAGAACTTACTCTGTTTGGTGCTAGAATGATCATAGTATGAATATCGGCGGTCTTTTTGTGAATAATCCTCTGTATGCAGAGAAAAAGAGAAAAAACGATAAATACAGTGGTACGTAACTTTCTGATCATTACTCTTAATTATATCCATTTTCAATGCTCTCTATTAAGAAAGATTGATAAATTCACAAGCTTTATTATCAATCCTTTAGCATGATTCATGGCACGAATACTACTCACAAAGGAAAATTCATATTTTTAGTGAATTCTTTCTTTTTTAATGGAATGGTCATATTCGTGCATAAGGTGATAAGATCTACTCCAGTGGTTAATAAGTTTATTGAAGCAAATAAATACGCGATGAGGTCAATGATGGTTGATAAGCAAGAGGGGATTCTATTAATTCAAAGACCTCGTAACTAATCATGGCTGTAAACTTGAATCTACTGTTTTTGAAAAACTATTCAAGTTTCCAAACATTGAATACCATTTTGATGGAAGTTTTGATTAAATTTGATATTTTAGTTACACTACTTATAAGTAACTGAAATCAGATGATTGTATAATTTGTGAAACGGTGTTTTCGATGTAAATAATATCTATTTTGTGAAGATGAATATTAATTCAGTGTTTAATCATTGCCAGTATTAAACCCGATAAATAAGGAACATAAAAAGCTATACTTTGAATGTTGAAATATTCAGTTTAGTAAACAGGCTATGATTTCATGTTTCATATTTATAAATGTATAACATTACTGGTACAACTGAGCATTTTAGTGTTTTATGGAGATACTTGTTATCACCTTTAGATTTTTAATATTCACTAGGTTGAAGAAGCACAACAGTCAGCAAGTAGAAAATCAAAATATAAATTTCTCATATATAGTTATGAATATTCAGAGCAGTATGACATAAACAGAACAAGTTCAGATCATTGTTAATAGCTTTTATTCTGAATGATGATAATTTAAATTTCAACACTTGAGATCATGAGTCAATTGAAGCTAGAAGACCATGGAAAACCTGGAAGCATTGGACAACCGTTTCTTCATACTGTAGGACTCTTCAGCAGTGTTCTCTCACGATTCTGCTCGCGGGATTTGAACACAGGACCTGCCGATCTCTCATGCGAGTGCTCAACTACTAGACCACTGAGCCGGCATCCAGCGGTGTTAATGTCTAACTTCAATTAATCCAAGAAATTGAGTGACTCATCTACCATTGTCATCAGTGAGTTACTATCTCACAACTGGGTTCGAGTCCCGTGAGCGAGATCGTGGATACGCACTGTGTAAGAGTCTCATAATAGAACGAAACGGCCGTCCAGTGCTTTCAAGTTTTCCATGATGATTTGACTCATAATCTCAACTATTGAAATTAACTTTTAATTAATATTCGATTAAAATGATTAGGGAGTCTATGATTATCAGTTTTGCTCTTGGCAACGCTCATAACCAATATGTATTTACTTGGTATAAAAGTTAATTTTCTGTTAAAAGGAATTATTCAAGATAAAAACTTAAATGAATATATATCATGAATGATCAGCAATCCTATGGATAAAATTCCTTATGTTTTACAGATTTATTCATTATCATACTTCACTGAATGTGTGTATCTGAAAAATTCATTTATATTTATCATTTTTGTGTTATTTCAATAGTTGAAATCATGAGTTCATTGAAGTTATGTTATGTTTGATATGATTACAAACAACATACAAATCAATGATTCTCTACTACTCACACTTTATACTAACAAAATAATCATTTTTATTTACATTGAATGAATTTTTCGAGACATCATCGACAAAAAATAAAAAAACTTTTAAAATGCTTCATACCTTTACTTAGAGACTATAAACTCACCTATTAATTTTATAGTAATTGCACATAGAGTAAAAATTCAATCATTGCCAAATCAATATTTAATTCAAGGTCATTAAGTAATCAATCAGAGCACTAGTTACTAAAAACTCTCTTTTTTATTACTTTTAAATTAACCCACATTTACTATCAACAACAAAAATTAAAACTAATGATTGTTTAGATTTCTATTGTTTTCTATTCACAATAAGCATTGACATCAGACATAGTTTACATCATATTTTAACAGTCAGTATTATTGTGAATAAATATGAAATTGGTAATCGATAGAGAAAGACTATAAGCATTGAACAAGAAGATATTGTCATATTGTAAAGTAAGCTCTGAATACATAGGTATCGCATTGATTTACCTATTAACTGGTCAGTTGTAACTGTGATATCAAAGTAACTATTGTTTATGATATTCATAATAATCCATACTCTATCGTGTTTTAATGACAGACATTACATTTAACCTTTTTTTCAATATCTTATAAAGCAAATTACATGTTTCTTTAGTCCAGATCGATTTTTTAATGTTAGATGTTTGGTAAACACTTGAGTTTTCTACTCATGTAATAATAATAATAATAATAATAGTAAATGAATTCGGCGCGAAATATTTTGTGGTAGAAAACAATCCTCGGAACTAATTATGCATCATTACAACAAATTTCTCTTGAACATAGGTTTCCATTGTAATGGATTAAGACTTATTTTAAAAATATTCTTCTCGCTCACCATCTTCCATTTGTATTCAGTCATTAAAGTTCTTTATCAAGTTAGCTGTTGTAACTATTTTTTTCCTCCATCATACACAAGATGCTTGAGTTTCAACATGTTTAGCTCTCGTTTTTTCCGAAGAATGGATATGAAGGAAAATATTTCAAGAAATTCAGTGTTTGTGCTTGAGATGTTTGGTATTTAGCATCACAGTAACTTGAAATCGACAACCTTCAACCATCACCTCATCTTAACATAGTTCATGCGATGAAGAGTCACCATGACTAGTGGCCACAGTGCAAACTGATCTATAGAATTCCGTTTTCATCTGACACACAGGACATGGTCATGACCTAGTGACCAATCAATGGTAAATAAACTACAGTCCTACAGGAGGTGATTTGTTGCCCGAATAGCTTAGTGCTAACGTCTCTAACTGTGAAGCTGGGTGATACGAGATCGGATTCACCAGGGAGTACCAGTTCCCCCAAGGTTACAGGTACAACATGCAGACGAGTGCTATGTAACACCGAACCTAGGTCCATTTATAACCTAACAACTTGTGATCACATTATGGTCCCGTGTGGATATATACAATCAAGAGTTATAATTACTAAGCTTAAGCTAATCTAAAAAGATTAGGTTGATTGAAATGTTATAACAGTTGAAAAATAGATGGTCGAAACACTTGAGAAAACTGTCTTCTATAGCACTTCATTATGTACAACGTTTTGCATCTCGAAATTTGTGAATAATAGAAAGTTTTAATTCTAAACGTTTTCTAGGTTGCTTTGACGAACCCTACATATATTATAAACATGGTACATGATATGCAGAACCATTGTTTTCAAATGATTTATAATATTCTTTTAGTTTACAAGCAGCTGATGGAAAGTAACGTAATAAGTGAATTTATATTTATTCTGATACTATTACTGTACATGTTTTAAAACAAATTAATTATATGATTACAAATAATAAAAGTGTGAATTAAAAGTAATTTACTATTGAAGTTAATTGTATGTACTTACCATCTGTGTCAGTCAATGTATCACTGAGATTAATATTACTATAGGCTTTCCTAGTAGATTGTTCAGCTAATGAAAAAAAAATAAACAAAAATGAACACAAAAGAAACTGTATCAACGCTAAAAGATAAGACAAATTGTGTTACTTAGTTATTAGCAATAGGTTGTATTGCTTTATAATCAATCTCTTTTAGGATAAATGAAATAAAACATCTAAATGAAACATCAAAGAAAGGTGTATCATTCAGTGAAATGACTTTTAAAAAAATTTCATTCTGCAAATTTGTGCGTTGCTTTTCAAAATAACATTCATTTGTTAAACATTGTAACAATGAAATAAAATAGGGAATTCCATAGTTTTGTAACAGTTCCTCCATTTAAATGCAGCATACATTGCTTAATAACTTCAGCTAGACAACCGTCGGAAACTATGGAGTAGTCGATAATGATCTCATCCTAGTCCTAGACTCCTCAAGGTTTAAGCTAAAATGATGATTTAGGCAATCATGATAACAATGTTTTTAACAGTTGAAGAATCATGCCTTCACATATTTTTGTCAGTGTTTCAGTGTATGTGTTAGAAACATTAAACAACGAAGTAAATTATTGTTATTGTTTGACAACCATCTCTGAGATCATTTATCAGATCACATTTAGTCATGACACTATGTTACGCTATTTTAGTCAGCTTATAATGAATGAGATCACAGGTGGGGGACATTCGAATATATTAGAACACGAAATTACAGAACATTTTACCAAAGTTTGAGAACCATACAGTAAATACTTATTTCGCAAAATATCAATCAGTTATCTAAAACTTGACTGTTCCTTTTGAAAATATCAGTCAGTCGTCTCAAACTTCATTATTCCTATATTTTCAAAACCAATTGCTTTCTGTTCCCATTCTTTTCTTCTCGACCTTCTGTTGTCAGACATTCTAACCCTGACTATCGTTACATACTACTACTTTCGATATCAGTAGCATACACCACAAGCTCTTTATCACTTACTGAGATTCCCATAAGCTTTTCTTGCACTGGGCGGCAATCCAAAATCAAACAGTTTTTCACGGTCATTTGGATGAGTAGACGGGGTACTGGACAAGTGATCTATAGAGTTTTAAAAAAATGAAAACATAAAATGTAACCAACACATGTAGATTAGAAACAACCTTATAATATGCTAAAACTATGTTCGTTTCATCAAGGCTAAAATGAAACAACTTTTCATCACTAACTGATTTCTTATCCTTTTTCAATCGATGTCAGATCATGACAAAACTAATCTTCAGATTAAAATTGATTAGTTAATTTAAAAAAGTGATCGATTAAAACTATGCAAAATATAAAAAAAATGTCCCTGGTTACTATGATTACAATATCACAAACATAATATATCCTTCTGTTTTTATTTTGTGTTCTCTTGTCAATAATTTTATTTAACCATAGGCTAATAATAAATTGGCATCGGATAACAATCGTAACAAACTTATTTTTATACAACCATGTAACATTCACTCAAATCAGAATAGAAGAATTTCTTATGAAATCAATTTAAAAAAAAAGTCAAATGTTCCATTTCTCTCTACTTTAAGCTTTATGTTACTTTTTTTTTCATTTTTAACTTGTGTTATTCCGATAAATTTTTGTTGTTGTTGTTGTTATGGTTGGAATGTTTGAGATTCAATATTTCTATCATTACTGTTTATTATATATTTCGAAGATTGTTTTAAAAACGAATGATTATCAATAATAATAACAATAGTAATAATAATAATAGTATTAAATGTAATGAAAGTAATTTACTACTGACTCTTATTTGACATTTGATCTCATAAATGTATATACGTTTCTTATAATGCTTATATGAGTATGGTATGTTTAGGTATATGTATAGAATAGCGTATATACAGTTTATATTACTGATTTTTAAGACAGTACAATTAATCAACATCTATATGATTATTATAGCATGGTTAATATAATAAGAGAGTCATTGAAATAGTAAATTAATTGACTTATTGATTAATTGATAAGTAATTAAATACAATAAACTAATTAAATATTTGATTTCCTTTATTAGATTCAATGAATTCTATAATTTAGTTAATATTTATTTATCTTTGTATAGAAAAATAAATATTAGTTTAAATTATGTATAGTAAACAATTTTCAACAATAATGATAATGGTAGTATCAGTATGAAGATATTTGATATTTATTTCTGGCAAATGTTACTTTTTAGTGAATACTGTTAATAAAATATCAGAAGAGGTTATTTGTTAAGATTATAGTCATTTCAATAGTTGAGATCATGAGTCAATTGAAGTTAAACCACCATGGAAAACCTAGAAGCACTGAATGGCTGTTGCATTCTATTGTGGAACTCCTCAGTAGTGAGACCGATGATGCCTGGTTTTGAATCTCGCGAGGCAAGATTGTGGATGAGCACTGCTGAGGAGTCCTACAATAAGACAAAACGGTTGTTCAGTGCTTCCAGGTTTTTTTATGGTGGTCTAGCTTCAATTGACTCATGATCTCAACTATTCAGATTATCTGATAATGGTATATAACTTATTATATAAATTTATGGGAGGAAAACTCTAGTTATTATAGGATTCACATATGCCTACTGATCATTGGATCAGTACAAAAATATATTTTCTAACAAAATTAATGGTAATAAAAGACTGATAAACTGATTGATTTAACACTCTAAGACTTCATTGTTGTATATATATATATATATATGAGTACACAGAAATTCTTCTTTGAAACATTATATTCCATAGACAGTCTGTTTACATCATTTTCATGGTGTCATCTCACTACTAAAAAATATTCCAAACAAATACATGTCTTCAGTATTTTCTGCATTGCTTTATAATTACATGGAGAATTGTTAAGCCAGAACACTAATAATGACTATTATGATAGTCAGTAAATTAGGGGAGTTCAGTGAAAATAAATATGATATGATATGAAATATACAAACGCTTTTGTAATCACAATTTTCTGTTTGCTTGAAACATGTATATAGGTCAATTAGACAAAGAATGCTTTACCTTATATAGATAAAATGAGCTCCGGAAAATTAAACTAAGTTACATATGATCTCAACATTCAAACAAATATAGACTAAGCTTTATCAGTATATTCCCTGTTATGATTATTTCCATAGGAGAATATTTAGAAGTTATTTTGTAGCCATTATTAGATATAAGATATAAACCTGTATATATTCGTTTAGACAGTCAGTATTTCTCACTTTTAGAATTAGAGATGATCTCGGTGCTCATATACCAGAATCAAAAATTCAATCAATACATGATATCATGACGAATCAATGGTTCTAGTGAAGTTTTTTTTAAAAGTTCATTTACTTGTGAGTATTATGCATTGAATAGGCAATAATCATCAGAAAATCCAAATTGATTTTATCCATAAAACAACCAATTATGCAGTCATGAACTTCATAAAGATTTAACAGAGTGATAATGCGATGTTTGCTAGTAAAAGGAAATAACTCGCTCTCTATTCATAGATGTGTTAGTTCAGTTCATGTGATTTGCACACATTAGAAATTAGAACAAAACGTTACAGTGTGAGTTACAGACTGGCAATTAATAGGTGGTAAAGTGAGTGTCGAATTGTGTTTATGTGATCATTTTTAGTATATCGAATATACTAAAATATGTCACGTAACTGTTTTTAATTATACAAATTTAAGAAAACTTGAAAAAGTCTGAGAACTCCAATATCCGTCTATTCGATTTGATCGATAGTTGTTGTGTAACTTTGAAAAATTAATATTTCACAACAACATCTCAAAGGTGTTGCGATTGTGCTATTAACAGGTTGGTCCTACTTCAAACTATTGAAAAAGCACGTTTGTTCTTTCATTTCATTAGTAATCTACTATGAAAATGTAATAAAGAAAAAGAAACGCTTTGGTGCTTATTCCATGGTTCTATAAATTTGTTACATCTTGATATTGATCGTTAGCCTTTTCTTCGTTCCTAATCAACATTCAGACAAATCATAGGAATTACTTAGACGATTTTCACTGGGTGGGACGAGAGATGTTATAATGATATTGAAGAATGGGTCATTCCTAATAGTTATGTTTGAAATTGAACAGTGAAAGCAAAAGAAGATTCTTTTTAGCTAGATCATCGGTAGAAAACAGTATGCCACTTCAATTTTACTAAATGTTTCCAGTGTTCCCAGGTTTTCCAGGGTGGTCTAGCTTCAAATGACTCATGATCTTAACCGTTGAAATTGTTTCCATTAAATTAGTGAGACCCTTGGGTTTGTAAATTAGTTGTCAATCAGTCAATTACGAAGTAATATGAAGGATTCAGCTGCTGAAAATGTCACATTTCACACAAGTAGTGCAATAAAGAAAATAACTAAACTGAAAAATATTGAATTCAAAAGTCATACCAGTAATGGTGTAAATTTAAATGAGGTGAATTTGGTTAAGAATGAACGATTCAAAATAAAAATGAAAATCAAGGGATTGTAATATGTAGATCTAAAAAAGAATAAAGAATGTGAACATCTATTTCGGTGCTTTAAATTAGGGTTTTTAACTGGAGAATAAGACGTTTTGGTTGTAAGGTATGAACAGAATGTGTGTGACATTCGATATAGCCTAATTCATCAGTAAATGACTTAGTTTACGGTTGTCCTACTCTAGACTGATCAGCAGTAACCATTTTCCCAAACTATAACTTGCTGGTCACCACAGTGTACTAGAGTAAGTTGTAGCTGAGATCTCCCTAGTACATGATTTAACTACGTCATAACCTATAGATGGGTAAATTTTACTAATACATTGATTTAACTTCAAGTTTCCGTACTTATGTGAGTTGTAGTAATATAGTTCCATGGTAATTTATACGACATCTCACAATGTTTTCATTATATTGACTGGTTAATTCAGTATATAATCTTTATATCTATTAATCAAATTTACACTGTCAAGTTATCAATATTCTTCATGATAGAGATTGCATAGCTGTTTTTGAATGTTACTGCGGCTAAAAACCGACCTTAGTATATTACTGAAAACCTGGAAGGATTGGGTACCTTTATTTACCCAAAATGGGACTCATCAGCAATATGTATCAATAACCTTAAAAAGGATCAAACCCAGGACCTCCAGGTTTTGCAGAGAGTGTTTGACCTCTGGATCTCTAAGCAGTGTATGAGAAATTTATCCACATAAAACAATGACGTTTAGTTGAGGATCATCGCTAGTTGACTGAAGTTAGACATGTCAACCTGGGAACTCTCCAGTACATGATCTAATAACATCACAAACTATAAATGGGTTACCAATATCTAAGCTTCATTATTGTTAGTCAGATATGAAAATATGTAAATTAAATGATCATATATATATATATATATATATATATATATATATATATATATATATATGAGGGTCTAGATTTAAGCACTTATTATTCTTAAATGAATTCTAATATAAAGTCAATTATTTAGTTAACTCAAACAATTAACATTCTTTCTGTCATCAAAAAGGTGTCGTATGTTTTTTATTCATGTGATCATTTGGATAATGAAATAGTTGATAAGTTTGCCAAATGTTTTTAAAAAATATAAAAAAGTAATAATAATATTAAAGTCTAAAAGTTGTCGTCTAATAATTCACGTTTTAATGTAGATATAAAATTGTTACACTATTCTTTTAGGAAAAAAAAAGAAAGTAAATATCCTATCTTACCATTCAGAATGTAATTCAATGCTTCCACGTGGTCTGATGTTGAGTATTCAAATAATACTTAAGTTATATAGCGTAACCAGAAAGTTTATTAAATATGTGTGAATGGTTTAATTATAAGATTAACACAATTTGAAATGGGTATATAATCCCTGACAACATTTTCTAATTAATTATTAAAACACAATTCATATGAACGAAGAATATTCTTTTTAATAATTTCTCATCAGGTTCTACAATTATCTCATATCCAAATGAATAATCCAAAAAAATTGGCCAGATTTAAGGTAGAGTAACTTGTTCCACAGAGAAGTTGAATTGATAGATACAGAAAGAGGTGGCTAGTCTAAATACTTTATCTTTCAACCTGTGGAAAATGTTAGTTGTAGTCTACCTGGATTAAAAGTCCTTTGAATTGATCGAAACAGTTACCAACTCCATTTTAACCCGTTTAATTCAGACGGGACATATAGCCAACATAGAGCAATCTTTCGCAATAATATATCGTGTAAAGAGCAGTCTACCTAAGTCCATCCGACTGAGAATCCTACAGATGGCTGAAGTAATTAATATTCGGATCAAAAAGCCATAGTTTTGCATCCAAAAAAATTATTTTCAGCCTCTCCTTTTACCCTGATCAACTTTGGGGCCAACTAGTTAATAATCAATCTTAAAATACAGTGACGTAATTTGATTAATGTTCATTTTTATGTCTCAAACTTATCTCCTTATTATTATCACTTTAGGGGTTGTGGAGATTATTAAGTTTTTGATTGAGATCATGAACCAATTGATGTTAGACCACCATTGAAAACCTGGAAGCAGTGGACGGCCGTTACGTGGATTGGTTGAGGTTAGACACTAAAAAAATTGGATGCCGGCTCAGTGGTGCAGTAGGTTAAGCGTTCGCACGCGAGACTGACGGTCCTGGGTTCGAATCCCGCGAGCGGCATCATGGATGCGCACTGCTGAGGAGTCCCACAATAGGACGAAACGACCGCCCCTATCTACTCTATCTGACCTACTTCATATTCTACACATTGCGTAATTTCTGATTTTTATTCCATTATTTTCTCTCTCTCACCCCATGTTGACCACATTTATTCTGATCATTTATCTCACAATTTCATTTCACTTATAAACTGATTCAAGTTAGCAACTTCATATTAGTCAACCCGAACATTAACGATCTGATTTGATTCTATATGACAAACAACAATTCTTAATCCACATATTACAATTTCCAAATTATGTACTCTGCTTTAAATCTGGCCAATTTTATGGATTGTTAATTTTGGATATGAGATAATTGTAGAACCTGATGAGAAATTCATTTAAAAAAATCATCTTCGTTCATATTAATTGTGTTTTAATATAATGGGGATTTTTCAGCGGTTAATTGTTGTCGAATTGAGGTCAACTTTTTTTCAATTTTTTGTTCTCTGAACTGAATGGTTTGGTCGTGGAGATTTCACTGTTATTTTGAACAACATCATTAGCGCAAACTTCAGGTATGATGAAAGTTCCATGATCAAACCATTCAACTTAAAGAACAAAATTCCGTCAAAATCATCCACCTAAGATATAAATCTTCTCCATCGTTTCGAAGTTAACTATTGTTGCTTTTAAAATAAAAACTTTATACTTCTCTTTAATTTAAATCATAATGAAGAATATCCCATTTTTAAGCGCAACATTAATATAATTTTATTCTCATATCCTATAATAAGTTTATCATGTTAAACAGGTTTAATTAGTTATCTACGGTTTTCTTGTTGAAATGAGTTATTCATTAATCGTTGGATATATGGATTGGAAATTTTATTATCTAGGATTTATATGAATTATGTTTAACTCGTTTTAAAAATTTGTGATACCTTAGTGAAATCGATGAAGTATTACATAACTGTTATTATGTAAATTAGTTGAATGTCCATTGATTTAAACTGGTAATTACCATGTAAAATGTTCATAGCAAAATTTCATGTAGGCTAAGTGGGATATAAATTCATGATATCATGCGTTTAAGTGAAATCTTAGATGAAATATGATGAATAAAAAAATGAATGATATGATTATCGAGGATAAAGGGAGAATCTGACGCACAGATATTTGCCCTTTATAGATATGATTAAAACAGGCAATCAACATTAGACCAAAAACTGCATTGGCAAGAACATATCCTGCAGCTAAATTGATTGTCCTATCCAAAATAACATGTTCTTTGACACAATCAAAGATCGATAAGTATCCCTTTCATGTTACCACCAACTCTATACACAAATGTACATGTATTTGTCAAAGTAGTTACATTAGCAGAACAGAAAGGAGAGCCTACGTATATGTATAGTATATGTATATGTTCCGTATATAGAAGAATCCATGATAATAATAGGTCAGGAATGTTTTGATATTATTAGTATATTTATTTAAGGTACAATGTGAAATTTAGTGAATTAGACAGTAATCTGAAATAATTGAGTCAGAGTATGCTACTTGTGGTAATAAGATGTAGTGTTCTGTGTCAACAGTTTAATTTCTGTACGTACCAGAACTTCATACGATATAGTGATGTATTATTTTGAATGCTACTACAATGTATAGTGATTTGAATATGTGCGTAAACTGAATTTTTAAGAAAAGACATTTAATATTTAAAAGTTTACTGACTTTAAATTCAAGGTGCTGATTGAACTTAAATGTAAACTTCCAATACAAATTTTATAGACAATTTTAATCTAAAATTGTTACAAATATTTTAAATCGGATATTTATAAGCAAAGATGGATGGTGGCTGGAAGTGGAATGTAGTACGTCCTATTATGAACTCGTCAGCTGGATGTACCTATATCTCAGAGCTGGGAAGATTCAGGCAAACAATACCAAACAGATATTTATAATTTGCAATGTTATTAATTAATTATTTTAAATAAATATGGAAAGTGGACCTAAAGTAAAATAAATTTCAAAATGCCAATTTTGTCGAACAGGCGTTTATACTTGACAAAAGGTATTTCAAACAAGTGAATTGGCATAGTAACGAAAAATGGTTTCATATCATGAAAACTATTATTTTATGTGGGGGGGGAGGAGTCATTAAAATGAAATAACATTTGTGTAACCTAAAGTATATATTCTAAAATATTGTAGATAAATTTGGATAAAACACTAAAATAACTGGTAAAAATGTTAACACCACACACTGACTTGTATTTTTCAGCATCTTTTTTGAAATATTGAATCTGATTCACTGATAAATTATTCCGCAAGGAATATCATCAACAGTAATACAATATATCAAACATTAACAATGTGTATCCAATAAAAATTGTCTAAATTCTTTTGTAAAAGATCCGTAGTTTAAAAGAACATTCCATTTATCAAAGTAGTTGTTAGTAATCAGAGATAGTTGTATTTTGTTTGAATTACTTGTTTGACCTATGTAGAGTAATACAAAAGAGAAGAAAAGAAAATACGACACAACATACTAAATTAAATATAGTTAGTAACATATACATATGTATGTGAACATCATGTATTCTGTGATGTTTATCATATAATAACAAATGTTTGTCAAGTATTCTATACAATAAATACCATCAGTATGATTAGAATTTAACATTAAAAGAAATTATAAAATTTGTTAAATAAGACCACAAAAACAGTAGTGTATGTTGACTTATATCTAACTTACAAGCATATTTTAAGCATATTTATTACATAATAATAAAAAAATCGTTTGAATAGTAACTTGTATGAGTACACCTACGCGAAGCGTCTTTTGTTTACCTTTAGTCTTTATTTAATTTTATAAACATGTGTCTCTCTATCAATCTCTATATCAATCTGTTAAAGCATATGAATTTATACATGATCAGTAAAAACCTAAAATTCACGTAATAAAGATAAGTGAACATAATTTACACTACATTTAAACACTATTTGTACTTGTAAACGGGAACAGATATATCTGTTTCTATGTATAAATATACAATAACTGATTGTGATTGTTAATGACTTTAAGGCAAAATAACTGATTGTAGATAATTCAGATTAGTTACTTCAACGAATCTAATCAAATATATAATAAAATATTTGGTCAATGAATGTTTCTTGGTTAATTCTAGGGATTTTTTGGAAAAAGTATGCATAAGCTGAGGTTAGACGCGTTCGCGCGCGAGACCGAAGTCCCTGGGTTTGGATACTGAGTGCGGAACCATGGGCGCGAGTCCTATTCTACGACAAAACGGTCGTCCAGTGCTTCTAGGTCTACAGTGGTGGTTTAACATTGATCGGTTTATGATCTCAATTAGAAATTCTTTTCTTTACACATTGTTCTGCGTTGATGGAAGAACAGCCTAATTTCTACACAAACCTCGATTCTCTTTTCTATCGTTTTAATCGTATATCTGAAGTTGTTTTTATACTTGATCGATATTCTTTATAGTAAAACTACTGACATGTTCGTGTGGTAAGCTATTATTTTGCGATTTCACATTCGGTTCTATAAATAAAACTACGATTGTCTTCTTCATCTTCTTCGCCACACTAATTAGATTAAAACCTTCAGTTGTTGCATAGAGGAATTGTTGATTAAGACCCATCAGAAATCAAAATACATTTTAGATCATCAGTTGTGTATCGATTACAATTATCATAGTTCAAGAATAAAGTGAACAGTCATCATAGTGAAGAAATATATTGGAAGCTCGTGATCAGAATTGACAGTAAGTAAATTAATGTAACGAAAATGGATAATGATTTTCTTTCTCCTGAATCGTATTTTGGGTTTACGTATCCCAATCAACTACAACTAATGATTTGTACTCGTCCAATGTTGACAGTGAAACTAAAACATAGATTATCTAAGGTAGTTATTTCTTACTATGCATAAAAATCCAACATTTTATATTGGAGTTACACTGACTGATATTTTAAGAGTTCACTATTCCATACCACGGAACAACTTCCACTGTGTTTAAGTGAAGGTATATTCAAGATATTAAAGAGTTTAATCTGAGATGAATACCAATCAGTTATTGCCCCTAATGTGTCATATCTACCAAAATTAATCTAGGAAAGATGACCAGGCTTTAAAAATTTCAGATAGTACAAATGGTATTCTCAAGAACTAAATACAATAATAATGAAATACTTTCACAAAAAAGTAGATCCAGCTTCTTTTACTAACTTGATTGTACACATATTCAATGAATGGATAATCAACCAGATATGTCTAATTTGTTTATACCCTTCCGCTTGGTACTTTTTAAACCTAATTATTTTCTGATTTAATTATATTTTGTTGTTAAGCTCTGAAATAATTTATTTTTCATCACTTTAGATCTAGTATCAATCATATGATTAATATCAATCCGTTCACTACCTAATGTCGAATTAATTTATTATTGTCACAGTTTATCTTACTCACAATCTGAATAGAGTATACTTTACATCGCTACCAGCTTCAATTATGTATATTCTCCGATTACCTTGTCTCATTAGTTCGACGTGATTACTATGGAATTTGTTTTGAATTTATCAAAAAAACATATTCAATTTATACATATGTAATTGTTTCACAGTGAGAGTTAATTCCTTTAATTATTTTAGATACGGCTTACTGACGAGTGTTAAAGAGCCCAAAACCTGGGTCAAAAGTTTCTAGCCGACTACTTCCAACAACCTAACAGCAAAATATAATCAATGCGATATCGAGTCATTTCGAGGAGTGGTCACGTTATGACTTTTTTGCTGAAAGTGTATTAGCCTTAAGGACTAAAAAAACATGGTAATCATCATTTTTCGGTGATCAATCATTGTAAATAATCCATTCACTTTAAAAGTCAGGATAGTAAACATATAAACATTTGAAAATTGCTCACAACCTATACTCAAGGAACTTGATCTAACTGTTTATATGCTTGGTAATTCAGATTACCCAGGAAATCAACAGAACATTTAACATAGGTAAACGTAGCGAAATGTTGACCTGAGCAATAAAATCTCTATTAAGTATCTAAATTTTAGTGTTAGTTATCTTTTAGTAATTCTTAGATATTAAGAAAGAGAGCATTTACATTGGAATACCGTAGAATACTGCTGCTGACTTAATCATTTTTATTTAGACAGTCTCGTAGAAGTAATCACAATTAAGTATTTTAAAACACGATAGACCACAAAACATGAATTCAGCAAACATGTCAGTCTGATGTAGTATACATTTTTCAGAACAAGAATATTAAAGTAAACTGCATTTATTATCATAAAGGGGATTTTTTGGATATTATATTAAATTAATAGTTGAATTCATGATTTAATTAAAGCTAGACCACCATGGAAAACCTGAAAGTACTGGACGGCCTTTTTGTCTTAGTATGGGACTCCTCAGCAGTGCGCATCCACGATACCGCCCGCGGGATTTGAACCCAGGACCTGTTGGACTCATGAATTCAACTATTAAACTGAAATTATTTATTACCATGAAGGTAATTATTGGAGGGAAGTTGACTGAATAAACACGTTGGACTTTCATGTAATAAATACAGTTGTTGAGCTAAGTATTTAAATAACTCAGTCGATAAACTCCTATATTCATGGATGTATCATTTAGTTTAAAACTGTCCAAACCAATAAATATTACAATTTACCAAAATGTTAATACATCTGTGTTGTAATCTATTTTGATTGATCTACTTCTGTATGATGCGTCGTGTTACAGTCATGCTCGTCATATTTAAAAAATCTCGGTTAAAACTGTCAATAAATGAAATAAAACAGCTGTATCTTTGATATATTCGTGAAGATTGTCTCCAATCGTAAGCTTTTTTTTATAGATTCCTCTTTCGAGGCTTCTACATAAATATTTATGAAAGTTAAATATGATCACGACATTTCGATCTATTTGCCTGTAATAAATTTAAAGTGATTAGCTAATGAAAAGTTGTATAGAGAGTTGTTTATGTGAAATAGTTTTTCATTTGACTAAACAATGCATTTTAAAAATATAATTATTCACTTACTTGGTAACCTGATTGAAGATGGGTTTCTCACTCCTTATTTCTAATGCAAAAACTATCTGATCAAAGCTGAATACGACTACACTTAGTAAATAGTGAGGAATGTTTAGTAAATGAAAAATTGTGAAGATTATTATCAGAAATAATAACAAGATGAATTATCATTTGCACCACTTGAAAGTCCTTATAGATACCTATGAATACGTATTGTTTTGATGGCGTTTTGTTCTTTGAACTGGATGGTTTGGTTGTAGAGCTTTCATCAAAATCATTCACCTGAGCTACAAGTCTTCTCCATCATACCTATTGTTCGAACTGAGTGTTTTATATTCTATAGTTAAGTACTTCTATTGATTCAGACAATCATCTCACATAATTCAATTACTAACTCGAATCTATCCGTCCATTCCTTATAGATCAAGGGAATGGTTAAGGAGAAAAACTTTATTAATTAATTGAATGAGGTCTGTTGCAATATACCAGTGTGGTTGAATCATTATGAGTGAAATGTCAAGAGCTGCATCATTAGCAGATTTATAAAAAACGGTTAACCACTAAGAGAAAACATTGAATGTTACTTTTTATATTTACAACATAATTCGCTACTTCTGAAGTGCAAAACTTATCGCACTTGTACAGTGATTCAAGAAATTGAATTCATTCATGAATTCATCGAGCTTACACGTTATTACGAGCTAGCAAGTCTGTTATTCTGAGAACAGTACAAAGTATTCGCTTGTTTACGACTACATTTGTTGAGAATCCATATAAAAGACTATTCAATAATTTACTTTGGGATTTGAAAAATTTCAAAACTCAGCATAAAAACCACTTAGTTATACTAGATTTAGAATATTGGAACACTAATCAAGTTAGAATGTTATTTGTCTGAACTGATCATCATAGTTGGTAAATGAAACGATAAAAACTGTTCCAAGGAAACTAATGCTTCTGTCATTATCTAATCACACTAAACTCCTCCACATTAATGATTATGTTTTGTGCAATCTAAATATCCTTAACATTGACTCATTTCCATTTATCTGTTGTTTTTTGGTAAATATCAAACTCAGTCATATCATAGATAAAAGAATTTTGGAATAACAAGATATAAGGCATACGAGAGACTCGTGTAACATGTTTAGCTAGCCATCGTAAAAGTTTTGTTTGAGTAGATTTCATCTGTTTATATCATTCACCAACACACATGGTATTATTTTCAAGCATATACTCATTATGCTGCTAAATGTAACCGACTTGATGTACACTGTCGGTCGAAACTTTTCATACTGACAGGAAACGTCACTAGTGTTAATAAGTCACATACTTACTTATAAGAATCTAGGAATAGCATTGGCTACCGACCAAGATCATAAAACGAAATCTGTCTTGAGCTATACCTTCCGAGTATTTCCAAATTGCCATTCACTCCTGCTTGAGCATCTGGGCTACCTGTTCCTGCCATCTAGATATCTCAACAAGTTATCTATTTTTTGTTTGTTTTAATATATCATTATGTTTATTAATCGCATAACCTATTCTGCTGCGTTTCTGAAAAGTGTACAACCTTTCGTTGCCAAAGTTACAAAAAACTCAATAAGAGATAATGTGGTTGCTGGCAATATACAACGAAAAGAATGTACATTATTCAGATGTTCATTTAGTGAACTGCTAACATCTAACTGGCGATCACTCAATATTTATCGCCAGGACCGGCCAAGAAGAAAGAAACGGAAACTTGTTGAATTTTATATTGTACCAAAAATATAATATTGAATAAAGCTGGTAATAATAATAATAATGGTGTCTTCCTCAATTCCTTATACTGCGTGTGCTTTGATCTTCTACTTTCCCGTTTCCCTTCACGAGTACAAGTTAGTGTTTGCATTGTGATGCAGTTTGATGATTTCCTCAATGTAAATCCTATCCACTTCCAACGTCTTTAACTAATCTCCTACTCAATTGGAAGTTGGTTCGGTCTCTCCGACAGTAGGCTGTTGCTGATGGTTTCCCGTTAACGGACATTTCGTTTCATACGTAGACAACTGTTTATAAATACTTGTACGGTTTTGATGACGGTTGTAGCAGATCTTCAAGTTCAAGCTCCATAAAATAGAACTGTCTTGATGTTTGTATTGAAGATTCTCACTCTGATATTGGTTGACTGTTGTTTTGAGTTCCATATGTTCTTCAGTTGTAGAAATGTTGAACTTATTTTGCCGACCCTCAGCTTGACGTCTGCATATGATTCTCCTCTTTCATCGATGATGCTGTACAGGTACGTGAAACTTTCCACCTCTCTCAGAGTTTCTCCAACAAGTGCGATTGCATTGGTGTTCCTTGGGGAGAATTTGAGGATCTCGCTTTCCCTTGTTTATGTTGAGGCCTACTACTGCAGAGGCTGCCGCTGCTACTCTGTTTTTCTTGACCTGCATTTGTTAGTGTGCATGAAATAGAAGAAACAGATAATCCGCGATGTCCGAATCGTCTGGTTGTCGATTGTATTGAGTGATTCCCATCAGATGTCGATCTCTTCATAATTCAGTCAAGCACCAGAAGAAAGAGAAAGAGCGACAGTAGATAGCCTTGTTTAACTCCGGTCCTCATTCGGAATGTGTTTGTCAGCTGTCCTACATTTACGAATTTGCAGTGTAGTTCGTCGTATAAATTCCGTATGATATTGACGAATTTCTCAGATACAGCATAGTATCGAAGAAGTTTCCATAATATTCTCCAATCCACACTGTCAAACTCTATCTCACAATCAGGGAGGTTGATGTATGGTGACGAGTTCCATTCAACTGGTTGTTCAATGATGATCCATAATGTCACGATTCTGTCTGTGCACAACCGATTTTTACAGATTCCGCTTTGTTGATGACAAACTTTAGCATCTACCGCGTCTTTGATCCGGTTCAGCAACACTCTACAGAAAACCACAGAGGTGGTTGACGAATGCTATTCAGCGGCCTATTTTCCTCCACGAGAGGTAACAGGCTTAAGTAAGTAAATTTTTACTATTCTTTTAATATATAAAGAGTTATATAGTATGAATTTATTAAATCAATTAATTAGCATAGTTAACCGTCATGTATGATTTAAGATATCACCAAGGTTTTTTGTTTTTCATTAAATTAGTTGCTTGATCCATTCAAAATTTAGATTTTTATTTTTTTATTTTTTTATGTATCTGTGTAATATTGTACGCAGATTACAATCTTTTTTCTTTTTTTTTGACAGAACCTTGATATGAAATAAATTAATCTTAGTTTTTACGTCAAAAAAAACTTTTAATAATTTTGATCATACCTTTAATTAGTTTGCTCTTTTTTCTGCTTCGGATTTGGGGGATGGAACCAACAACAACAAAAAATTGAAAATTCCAATTTTTTTATTGAACAATTCTGTTTGTCATTGACAACTAACTTGCATCATTGATGAGAATTTTACAGTTTAGGTAGCAACTGCATGAAGTTAAATGAAAAAAAAAGACTAGCAAACAGACTGTAATCATTAAAATAGTTGGTTTCTTAAGATCAATAAAATACATATTGGAGATCATAAATTTAAAAAAAAATCGTATAACAGATCTCACATGACGTCATATTACCATTATCATTATTATTATTATTGTTAATTCATCAAAGTCAATATGTTCTATGAAAGTAATCTCATACAATAAGAAAATACTTTAAAATGTTAAGTTTATTTATTAGACTTTTAATTGCCTTTCTATTGTGATTTGTGCTTTTAGTAGCATATACTTTGAAAAGCCGAAAAGATCTTCAAAGATAATGAATAGTCTTCGACTATGTTGTAGTACAATAAACGTATTCATCTTAGAGATGAACGATACGGAAAATCGAATTGAAGTATTTCCAGTAATCAGTTAATCGAACAACAACAAGTCATTATCATATAAATGCTTAGTGGAACGAAGTAACCTAAAAGTCAGTTAGTGTTTTATCTAACATGAGATGATTTGACCTTCATTTTTCACTTCTTTCGAGAATTCTTCAGTGATTGTTTACACGTTTTTTTTTGTTTTTTCGCATCAACCTTCACCTAATTACACTACCATTAATGTTTGTTACCTCATGATTTTCTTATTTGTAGTGAGCTTGTTAATGTGATTAATATTATCATACTTGTTGTTCAACAAAGGTTTAGCAACACACGAAATTCACTATCAGCTTTCAGATTCGTCATACCATTATTATTATTATTGTCGTCGCCACTGTCACGGTTATATTACTGATGCTTCCTTGTATTTATTATAGATTGAATTATTTCATCTGACCTATGGTATGAATGTGAACTTCGTGCTTGTGATGACTTTACGGTAAATTCTTTTACTTATTATGTTCTGTTATAATTGATGACCACTACCATTAGTGAACTGAATTGATTTGTACATGATTTATTCGAAACTATTTGTGAAGAACAGGATGTTAGTCATAAAATTGTATCAGAGAACACTGATGCAATCACACTTGATGGAGAAACTCTGAAAGAGATGGAAAGTTTCACTTATGTGGATGGCATCATCGATGAACATGGAGGATCTGATGCAAACATAAGGGCAAGGATTGGCAAAGCAAAGACTTCATTCCTACAATTGAAGAACATATGGAACTCAAAACAACAGTCAACCAATAAAATGAGAATCTTCAATACCAACATCAAGTCAGTTCTATTGTATGGAGCTGAAACTTGAAGATCTGCTACAACCATCATCAAAGATGTTCAGGCAATTGTTGACATTTGTTTATGCAAGATACCCAATGTCCGTCGGCTGGATATTATGAGCAATAGCCTACAGTGAGAGTGAACAAATTAGCTGCCGTTTGAAGATGAAATTAAGAAAAGACGTTGGAGGTGGTGGGTGGGATATACAACACGTAAATCATCAATCTGCATCATGAGGCAATCGCTAACCTGGAATTCTAAAAGGACAAGTTTAAGAGGAAGGCCAAAGAACACATAGTGTTAGGAACTGAGGAAGATACCATAAGAATGAACAGCAATTGAGGATAACCGGAAGAATGGCCCAGAACAGAGTTCGTTGGAGAATCTTGATCGGTGGCTTATGTTACTCCACGAGTGATAACAGGCGTAAGCAAGTATGTAACTAAGTAAAGAAGTAATTCATGTCCTTATACTTGTTCACAGACTTACCGAATGATTGAAAAGTGAGTCTACGTGAGAATATTTAATGATTGAAGACTGGCCTAAATCCATAAACTCCAGGAATCCTTTAATCGTCTTTACTTTGGTTCTGTACTGATTTCCTTGTCATCACTGTTGGATCTATGTCTATAATTATCTGAAACAGAGTATCGTTAAGTTTGACAGTTAATCAGTGGACACTCATATGAACACAATGAAACTGATTGCTTGATTTGGTGTAATTTTTCGTGGGAGTTAGGGAAGTTTGTTCTTTGTAAATAAAATTCCAGTTATCTTCTTTGCAGAATATCACTTTTCCACGGACTTAATCTTCAACATAGCTTTCTGTGATTTCATATTTCACTTGATATTTTTAATAATTTTCACTATTATTTCATATAATTTTTTTATGATCAAATGTTCTGCATACGAGTTAGGACATAAATGATAATTTTAGATAAATTAAGTTTTTTGAGAGATCTTTTTTGAAGATTGTCAAATGTGATTTTGTAATAAATGAACTAAATTAAATCCTTTAAGTACTAGTTTCTTTCATGTCTTGACACATGTTCTTTATTAATAGTCATTATTTATGATGAGAATGATTTGATATAGAAATCAATTTTCACTGAACTAACGTCAAATATATTTACAGTATGTCTGAGTGTTACTAGCAGGAACTAATTATATTTCAGACGTGTTTACCTGAAGAAACATGAACAAAGTTTGTGTATTCAAGTTACATCAATATTTGTCCATTACAATGACAAGTAGTTTATTTTATGTTTGGTTTGTATATTACACTCAACTGTCCACCACAATATACGCTTGATAGGAAAGCTAAAACGAATGCAATATATTGACTAAGATTGCTTTAGGTTGACTAGTGATAGGAAAATTAGTTAACGTGCGGATAAACTTGACATGACATTTTTCGTAGTTGTTAGAATACAGTTTATTTCAAAATCCTCAGTATAGAAGATATCTATGTAATTAAATTTAAATGTTGTAAAAGTTTAAACACATATAATTATGAAGGGCATATATTAGTGTTTTAAGTATTTCATTAGATTAAGTAATCATCGCCTGTAAATCTTGTCTATTATTTGAATATTTTACAATTCATATACATTACTTATACTATTATATATCCCCATCAAAATGTTAGGCCCCTATAAACATAATGAATGGTAACGTTGGGATCCTTTTATGGACCAATACTAAACGTGCATTTTTATCGTATAATTGTTAAATAGCTAAACTATTCATATTCATGTTCCTCTTATTATAAGCTTTATTTTGACCTATGAACCATTATTATACGTTTTACCATTCTTGAGTTATACCCAATATATTAATTACTACCTCCCTCATTCACAGCCACATCTGGCTAATTCTTGTACAAATATTGTTTCATATTTTATTGGTACGTTGTGGTCTGCTTGATTGGTATATAAACAGAATATGTTTGAAATATAATGATTCATATTACAGAGGCTGAGACTTGTGTTCTGGACTTACCTGGCTGGGCTAGACGGAAAGCAGGGCCAATCAGAACTCTAGGCTGCTCATACGTATTTTACGCATCTTTGATCCGATCGATAAGTCACTGCTCTCTAATCGGCGGTCACAAGTTATAACACAAAACCACTATCTGTAACATTAATTATGAGGTAATAATATGAAATCTGTTACTTGATTTATCAATGTTTCTAAGCAACACAAATTTCTGTAAATAGTCGGGAGTGCCGTATTTTTTTCTGGAAACATAATTCAGTGATGAATGTAACAATATATAACTGGTAACTTCAAATAATGACGTTTTATTTTAAAGTAATTTAATTTGTACTTAATTGTTTTCATTAAACATGTGATATTTAATAACATGTGTGTACTGTTTTATTACTATATACATTGCCTAGATTTCAAGTACCTAATTAGTAATACCCTTTAAAAATAAGTGTAATATTTATTATTGTATGGAATATTTTTAATTCAATTTGTTCCCATGGAAAGAAGGTGAAAACTATTGAAAATATGATGTATATATTACATTCCATTGCAACTGTCGTTACACACATTAACTTAAAACTCATTAATTTCAAAGTTAGAAGTCTACATATTGAAATCGGCTGTTTTATGCAAATAGAACGATGTCTCGACCATACCATGGTAACAAATGATGTATTACATAATAAATAATGCATAAAAGACAAGGGTTTATGAAAATAGAAATGACGGAAACTAGTTAAGAGTTTTGAATATTTCAAGAGATGTTTTACAAATTTGATATATTAGTTTTACTAGCATTACTATTATTACTCAATTTTCCAGTTGATCAAAAGTCCAACTTATGCTCTTACTGAAGATCTGAATCACTGAATTACGAAACACTGTCATTTGTAAATGTACATAGGTCAGAATTACTTATCATCAATAACAATTGTTTGTTAATCCCCTTAGGTAACTCAATTTAAACTTCATGCTATTCAGGGTCAACACGGCTTATCATTTATTCTTGAAAACATGAATTATACTTTCTGTTTGAATTAAAAATTATCTTCACGTTATACTTTTTATTTGGATAAATCATTTATGCTACTTATGAGTAACTTGACGTTTTATACTCTATCTAGCAGATGGTCATTGAGCATTGGCCAAATGGCGAAATCAATTAAATCTCTGCCTGATTTCAACCTTATTTACGTTTAAAGGAACTTTATATAAACAAACAAACAGAGTAGTCGATTGTCAATGATTTGTCCATATCCTATCCTGGATGTCAATAGAACATGCATTTGGCTCAGATATCTAGATGACAGTTACATGAGGAACATTTCTAAATTGGTAAATGCTTTTTCAGCGCTCACAAAATTCGAGAATGGTGATGAACACAGTAAACTACCACTTTTAGAGTGTTTAGTTTAAAGAAATTCAACTAGAAGTTTAAAGCTAATCACCTACCGCAAACCGACACACTTAAATCGATATACTGATTTCACCATGGCATATCCAATCAACCCAAAAATCTGTTCATTTCTAAGCCTATTCAGACGGATGTCAAAATTCATTATATCAGATGAAGAGAAACATCTTAAACTTAAATACCTTTCCCATGAATCTTACTAAAACTATGCTAGAACGTAATTTTATTTCATCGAATGATAGTAAATTTAATGAATTATCATGAATTATGACTATAGTTTTGTTATACCATCACAGAACAACAGAAGGACTACAATAAATCCTCAAACCACACAAAGTTACAGCATTCTATAAAACTACAAACAATTCTAAATCCTTGAGTTCGAATAAAACTCACACACAGCAAGATCAAAGATTGGTGCAGAATAATATGAATTCATTTTATTTCGTTAGGTTCTCATCAGCTGCTTAACTCCGCCTGTAGCTCTTATAGGGTTGCTGCCGGTCCCAAGCCCGGGTAAAGGAGGAGGGTTGGGCATGGGGTTAGCGTCCCCATCCCGTAGTAAACCAACTCGCTAAAAAACGCTTATCAGAAAAAATAATCCAAACCATTTTAACTCTGCCCTGCGAGTTAGAAGGTCTTCATTTAGAAGAATTATGACGCTTCATAGTGAAAGCCGAATTCCTTTGGAAGCCACGAGGCCGATGCCCCTTCTAACAACCAGAGCAAAAATTTTTATAGGTACATGGAACGTCCGAACAATGTGGGAAACCGGGAAGACCAGTCAAATATCAATGGAAATGAGGAGATACAACTTAGCAGTACTGAGAATCAGCGAAACCCACTGGACCCAAGCTGGACAGAAAAGGCTAGCTACGGGAGAGATGCTGCTATACTCCGGTCACGAAGAGGACAATGCTCCACACACTCAGGGAGTCGCTCTTATGCTGTCCAAAGTAGCACGAAATGCACTTGTAGGATGGGAATCTCACGGATCCAGAATCATCAAAGCATCATTCCAAACAAAGAAGGAGGGGATCTTAATGAATATTATCCAATGTTATGCACCCACCAATGATAGCAACGACGACATTGAAGAGCGATTCTACGAGCGGCTGCAGTCAATCATTGAGAAATGCCCAAGAAAGGACCTAACTATTCTGATGGGAGATCTAAATGCCAATGTCGGAATAGACAACACTGGATATGAAGATATTATGGGACGACATGGACTGGGAGAAAGAAGCGAAAATGGAGAAAGATTTGCAAATCTATGTGCATTCAACAAATTGGTCATAGGAGGCACAATATTTCCACACAAGGCTACATGGATCTCACCGGACCACACTACAGAGAACCAGATAGATCATATTTGCACCAATAAAACATTTCTAAGAGCAATGGAAGATGTGAGAGCCGGACGAAGAGCTGACATAGCTTCGGATCATCACTTGGTTGTGGCCAATTTAAAACTGAAGCTAAAAAGGAACTGGACAACTGGACAATCAGCAATACAAAGGTTCAATACAGCCTTCCTTCGAGATACTGTCAAACTCAATGAATTCAAGATAGCTCTCAACAACAGGTTCCAAGCCTTACAAGATCTACTGAAAGAAGAAGAAACTACTATGGAGGACAACTGGAAAGGCATCAAGGAAGCATTAACTTCAACGTGTCAAGAGGTTCTCGGTCTAAAGAAATACCATCATAAGGAATGGATCTCTACAGAAACACTGGACAAGATCAAAGAAAGGAAGAACAAGAAGGCAGCAATAAACGACAGCCGAACACGAGCAGAGAAATTCCAAGCACAAGATGAATACATAGAAGCAAACAAACAAGTGAAGAGGAGCATTAGAGTCGACAAGAAGAAATACGTGGAAGAACTAGCAACGACGGCAGAAAAAGCTGCTAGAGAAGGAAATATGAAACAACTTCACGATACAACGAAGAAACTAGCAGGGAATTACAGTAAACCAGAGAGGCCGGTCAAAGACAAAGAAGGCAAGCCAATCACCGAAATTCAACAACAGCGTAACAGATGGGTAGAATACTTCGAGGAACTCCTGAATAGGCCGGCTCCAATGAATCCACCGGACATCGAAGCAGCACACATAGATCTTCCTATAGATGTCAATCCACCAACTACGGAAGAAATTAGAATGGCCGTCAGACAAATCAAGAACGGGAAAGCAGCAGGACCTGAAAATATACCAGCTGAAGCACTGACGTTAGACGTAGAAGTAACTGCAAACATGCTTCACTTTCTATTTAAGAAGATTTGGGAGGAGGAACAAGTGTCGATGGACTGGAAAGAAGGACACCTCGTCAAGATTCCAAAGAAAGGAGATCTGAGCAAATGTGAAAACTACAGAGGCATAAAACTACTGTCAATACCAGGGAAAGTCTTCAACAGAGTGTTGCTGAACCGGATGAAGGATGCAGTAGACGCCCAACTTCGAGATCAACAAGCTGGATTCCGTAAGGATCGGTCGTGCACAGACCAAATTGCAACACTACGGATCATCGTCGAACAATCAGTTGAGTGGAACTCATGATTATACATCAACTTCATTGATTATGAAAAGGCATTCGACAGTGTAGATAGGAGGACGTTATGGAAACTCATTCGACACTACGGAATTCCTGAGAAGATTGTGAATATTATCCGGAACTCATACGACGGACTACGGTGCAAAGTAGTGCATGGAGGACAGCTGACAGATGCATTCCAAGTAAGGACCGGAGTCAGACAAGGCTGTTTACTCTCTCCCTTCCTCTTTCTTCTGGTGGTCGACTGGATTATGAAGACCTCAACATCTGAAGGAAAACACGGAATACAATGGACAGCTCAGAATCAATTAGACGATTTGGACTTCGCAGATGACCTAGCCCTCCTATCACGTACACACGAACAGATGCAGATGAAGACAGCCAGTGTAGCAGCAGTCTCTGCATCAGTAGGCCTCAGCATACACAAAGGGAAAACCAAGGTCCTCAAATTCAAAGTGGAAAACAGCAATCCAACCACTCATGATGGCGAAACTCTGGAAGACGTAGAGTCCTTCACATACCTGGGAAGCATCATCGATGAACAAGGAGGATCCGATGCAGACGTAAAGGCGAGGATCGGCAAAGCAAGGGTCGCATTTCTACAATTGAAGAACATATGGAACTCAAGACAACTTTCAACCAATATCAAAGTGAGAATCTTTAATACGAACGTCAAGGCAGTTCTACTGTATGGAGCTGAAACTTGGAGAACTACAACAACCACAATCAAGAAAGTACAAGTATCTATAAATAGTTGTCTATGCAGGATGCTCAACATCCATTGGCCGGATACTATCAACAAAAGCCTTCTCTGGGAGGGAACAAACCAGCTTCCAGCTAAAGAGGAAATTAGGAAAAGACGATGGAAATGGATAAGATATACATTACGCAAATCGTCAAACTGCATCACGAGACAAGCCCTAACTTGGAATCCTGAAGGGAAGCGAAAAAGAGGAAGGCCAAAGAACACATTGTGTCGGATAATAGAAGCAGATATGAAAACGATGAATTACAACTGGACGGAGCTAGAAAGGATTGCCCAGGACAGGGTTGGATGGAGAGTGCTGGTGAGCGGCCTATGCTCCTTCGCGAGGAGTAACAGGCGTAAGTAAGTAAGTCATCAGCTGCTTACAATCTAAAATATTTGAAAATCAACGTTATTACAGATATTGACATACTTATACATAAGAGGGTGATTAAAGATGAATATATGTATCATGATGTAGTGAAGATTCCGATCAAGTTAAAGAGGTCATAAAAGTTTTGTTTAGTATAAATAAATTTTGGGAGG